GAAAGGAAGGGGAGGGGAGGGGAGCAGAAGGGAGGGGAAAGAAAAACAAATTTTTAAAACAGAATGGCAGGTAAAAATGGGAGCAAAGGTTTTACAAAGAGGGAGGGGAAGAAGCTGTGAAGGGAGGGGAGGGAATGGGAAACAAAACATTAAGGTATGTTGTGTATAGATATAAATTCTCTATGGTGAAAGATCATCATTAAGTCGGGCAAATATGTACTAATAAGCAAAGTCTCTGAAAATTAATTTACAAAGAAAATGGTTGAGAAGACATATGTTTAATCTGGCAACAAACAGTACAGAATTTACATTTATGTCTTTATGCTGACATCCACATTTATACCCTGATATTAGGAAGCAGCCGTATTATGTACACTTTTATGCTTTCATCAATAACACAAACGATGAAAATCTTCACTAACCTACCTTGAAATGTCTTTGTTTTCCTTGCTCTGTTCCATGTTCTAAAAACCTAGGGATGTGTAAATTTTAATTTTACCTTGTGCGTAGTGAATAAACATTACGATAATAATGTGAGTACTTTTAATTTCATACCTAAAAGAGGACGAGAATTCGGAGCCGGACCCACGGTGCTCTCTGTCCGAAGGCCAGGGCGCCACAGGAGGACCAGGTCGGAGGGCTCCGGCACCAGCCCAGCGCTTCTTCCTGAAGAGCACCAACCAGAGAAGGGGACACAGACACGGAGATGCTGGCTCCTCCGACTCCCACTGTCACTCCTCCATTGACAGAGTCTCTAAGGCCCTTGTCCATTAAGCAAATGTTTCTGCTCCTGCTAGGAAAATGGCCGGTGGCTGAAGCTAACCCCACTGTGTGTCACCTGAAGTCTCACAGGGGACACGCTTGAGCGATTCAGCAGACATCAACAAATGCTTCATACGTTCCCTTCACATAGGGTTTACTAGCAATGCGTCACCATCTTTGTGTTCCCTTATGTACGCACTGTCCTTTCCTTGCGTCCTGGATTCTTTCCCCTAAGTTTGTAATTCATGAGCAAAAAGACTGGGGATCAGGTCACTCTGTACCCCGCCGTCTCTCCACAGAGGGCCATGTAATACGGGGCTGTCTCAGATGCCAGCCGTGTGGGACCTCAGAATCCTACAGCTCACCCGAGTCCTCCCTGGGCCTAGACGGGTCCCTTTCTGGCGCCATCTCACTGTTTATTGCACGTTAATCCCAAGGTAGGATAATACACATAAAGACTCGTAACACCTAGCTACAGATTGGATTAGACACTAAATCTCTTTGTTACTGCTGTATCTCATGATGGAACAATTATCATAAGGCTTCTAACGCCCTGATGTTAAAATGGGGATATTTGGGCTTCTCTGGCTGCATTTAATGTTTTTCTCCAATTATTTATTTTAAATTAAAAAACTGTTTTACAAGCCTGTGGTCCACAATGGTTGGCTCTATCCAGGAAGTTGGCACCTGTACACAACAGGGTGATTTCACTGCCTCCCTCCTCCTTGCCCATCTCTTGGGCACCTTCCATTTGAGAAAGATCTAGCTGCCCACTTCCTGTGACCTGTCTTTCATTGTAATGTTTTCAGTGATGTGTGCTTGGGGATTCTCATGTAAAAGGAACCACAGGTACTGAAGGCTGTGTGCCTGTTTATGTCACTAATTCATTAATCCTTTTCAACAAAATACTTAAAATCTTTCAAAAGGGAACCAGCGAGGACAAGAACATTTGCCCCAAGGTCTGACAGTCAGCTGCAACAGCAGACAGGCGACCAGGGAGGGGTCAGCGGTGACCCTGGGAGCAGCCACTCTGCGGAGCCTGGAGCTCAGCAGAGGGAGAAACGAGACACACAGCAAGGCCAATCTCCTTGTCATCTGTCATTCAGTCAATCACGCACGCAGCTGCTACTTGGAGAATATTTCCTTTCCTTACGAGAGAACATCTTTAAGCTTTCCACCAACTCACAGCATAAACGCTGCCCGTGATTCTCACTGACGGGATATTATCCTTAGCCAGAAAGCTGACAGTCAGGTGCCACTGTCTTGTCTTTAGACTTCTGTGCTTTCAGTTATTTATTAAAGGGATTTTCTTAATCTCATGCTGTAACTACACACCCAGACGATGTCCACTGCTATTTTTCCTGTACTGAAGATGGAACCCAGGGATGCTGGCCACATGCCGTCTATATGCCATCGCTGTTTATTTTTTATTTTGAGAAAGGAATTCAAATACTTGCTCAGAGAAGACTTGAACTTGGGAGTCTCCGCCCTCACCGCCCTCAGTGTTGGGATTCCAGGATGCTGCCACAGAACCAGGAGCGTTTCCTTATTTTTATACTGAATCCTTTGAGTATTTGCTCATTGAGTCACACGTTGATCCAGTCCTCAGAACGGCATGACACATACACATCGAGGCGAGGTCCCCTTCGGGCTGGAGCTCAGAGCTCCAGACAGGCATTCACAGTCCCTGACTCCCTCGCCTCTGATCACTGGACACCTTCGATCCAGGCTGGCCCCCGTTTCTCCTCCCTCCACATGTACATCGTCTGTTGACTGAACAACTAATTCACTAGTAAAAATTTAACACCCTATAATGACTGACAACACTGTAAGGAGCAGCTCTGATTTTCCTTGTGTGTATGAAGAACTGCCTGACATGCATGTGTTTCCTCCGGTAGGCATCCTGCGATGTTCATGCATGCATAATTCAATATACTGCTTCCATTAATCCCATTTGGAAGTTGACTACACTTGGACTAATGGAACTGTACTTCACACTTTTATGGAACACAATGAATAACCTTAAACAAACCACTTGAGCTACACTCAGGTCTCTGACTATTACTCACACTGGTCCTAACTTCTAATGCAGAGATGTGACCTATGGATGGTGACGCCAAAGAATGTACACATCCTCCCGGGAGCATCTATTCTGAGCACACAGCAGAGCAGAGCAGAGGATGAAAAATGAGCCAGTGCCCCAGTGATGCTGGATTATGCACTTATCTCTCCTGTCGGACCTCAGAGCTGCAGACACGTACTATTCCTCACCTGACACTCACCCGGGCTGCGGTCTTCACGTGTCCAGGAGAGGCTCAATTGTGTTCTACTAGAAACAACTTTATTCTCTTCATTATCCTTTTAATCGTTATTTCAGCTGTGCCAATGCATGGAGCACAGGGTAGAAATTTTATACATTTGTAAGTGTGTAAGGATCAAATTAAGAGTACTTCATATATCTTTTGCCTGAAACTTCATAAAATTTTGGCAAAGGAATCAATACATTTCCATCCCATAGTTATGCCTCTGTATTTGAACCTTGGAACTGAACTGCTCCTTTTATTCATAAAATATAGAATAGGCTGTTTTAAACCGTAGTCCTGATTAACCTACAAATTCACTAGTCTTATTAAAAGCTTATTATTCACAAGACACAACAGGAGCAGAGGTGCCTATAATATACATCCAGAATGATTTTTCACATCAATTTATAAAATTCATTAACTACCCTGTTTTATTATCATTGCAAATTGTACTTCAGTGGTGTTTTAATATGGTAATAGTGTTCCCCGATGCACTATAAATTTCCGTGATTGAACAACAGTTCCTTAATTCATTGATGGAAGCTTTCACGAATCTAACAATAGTGATAGGAAGCAAAAAAAAAAAAAAAAGGCAAACACAAAGGTCAGCACCAAGGCCCTCAGCTACCCGCTGCATCACGTCGATGTTGGACACCAAGGGACACTTGGTCGCCTTAGGCTCCGACCACATAGGCATCACCATGGGGCCGTGTCATTTCTATATTGATTTTCAGTAAGTTGTGAATTAAAGTCTAACTACAAATGTCAACATGATGCGCGCTCTCTCTCTCTTTCTCTTTCTCTCTCTCTCTCTCTCTCTCACACACACACACACACACATACACACACACACATACACTGTTTGTCACTCTATTCTCCACCTCTTTTCCACACCAGACCATGTATCTTTCATCAATCAAATTCTATCCAGCTCACGATCAATTCGTGATAAAATATTTCCAGTCGTTTACCACTAGACATGATTAAATTTCGATTAATTTAATTTTTATGGCACACTGTCATTTAGCTTTTGGCCTTGTGTGTTTCTTCTTTTGAGAAATGTTTATTTAAGCTAATTACCTACTTTATAGAGGTTTTACCTTTTGGTATTGAAATTTTTGAGTTCCTAATATATTTTAGCAATTTATTCTAGGTATTACCTTGTCAAATACTATTTAGTCTGACAGGGATGAAATCCCATTGGCACCAAAAAAAAGGGAACTGGACAGCACTCTGATAAGGAAGGCACCCGGGCAGGGGAAGACAAGCATGGAATGATGTCACTGCGGGTGTACATGGGAGAGCAAAGCAGAGCTCCAGGAGGTGACAGTGGGATGGAGGCCTCGCGAGGCTGGGGAGAGGGGTGGGGGAGACATGGGGAAGCTCACTCAGTGAGTGCTGGGGAACAGGAAGACATGTCAGGGAGGCCTGCTGTGTGACTCTGTACTGTGTCTACTCAACAGAAGAAAAGGATATTCAATGCTCGAATCAGGGAGAAATAGTAGATGACTCAGGTGGACATATCACCTGATATAAACAGGACACAATGCATACACACGTACAAGACAGCACCTATGATGTGCGAGCTTTTTGTGTTCATTACTTAAAATAAATATTGTTTCAAACATGCATGATTAAATGGACTGATCCACATTAATTTCATATTTTATCTACATTAACTTTAACTAATGGGACAATCTCTCACACTTGCAAATAATACAGTGAACAAACCTTAAACAAATAATCTAAACCATGATAAGATTTTGACTACTACTCACATTGGTCCTGTGGTCAAAACAGAGACACCAGCAGTGGCTGATGGTTCTGGAAGAATGTGTAGGTCCCCTGGACAGAGTCCATTCTGCAGAGTACAGAGGAGAAGATACAAAATGAGACAGTCTCCAATGATCCCTGCTTATTCATTTCTCTTCTGTGTCAGACCTCATAATTGCAGACACATTTTATTCCTTATCTGAGGCTCATAAACTGGTAGATACCATCACTGGGCCAGAAAAGGCTGGTTTCCTTCATTTCTACCTGTCTTTTGTTTTGTTGTTGGCTATAACCACCATTTTTAGTGTTTCATTAACTACTATTTTTTAATTGTACACATTTATAGGATATAGTTTGAAAATTCTGCTCACTTTTACAGTGTACGAGGCTCAGTCACAGCAGTTAGTGTGGTTGTTTCCTGGAGCATTTTTTGAACTTGGAAGTTATCACACATGATAATTCCACTTATCGAGGTACTGAATGCTCCTCTTTCAATGAATGCACATAACACGACTTGTGCAAATTGGATGATTATGTTCCCATTCATTTATTATTATTTATTTGCAACCTTACAGTTCACGTCTTATTTGTAAAATGTATAATAGGCTGTTTTAAATTATATTCATGATTAATGTTAGAACAGATTCTCAAAGACTCTCATTCACAAAACTCAGTAAAAGCACAGCTACCCTTCCATCCACAATGATGCTCATATCAGTGTTTGGGACTCGTTAATTCTGCATGGCTTTTTCAGTAGGCATTCCAACGTATAAGGGTTCACATGAATCCCACATTACATGGCTTACAGTATGCCCTGGGTGGCATTTCACACTGTGCAGCATAGAGTAAATTCCCTTAACCAGAGTACTGGAAAACAGACAGCAACTGGGCACTCACGCTGACCTCCGGGTTTCTGATACAGATGTAACCACGAAGCAGCTGACCATGCAGTGTTCCTAAATCAGCTCTCCAGGTGCAGTAACAGCAGCATACCATGAAACAGGAGATGAAAATAAAGAAAATTAAAAACTGAGACATAGTTCATTTCCAGTTGATTCTCCTCTCTTATTTAGAAACTCATTTATGCAGTCATTAACTTAAGCATTTAAATTATCTCTTAAACCAACTCACAATTGTCAAACATCCAGAATATAAACATTGTCTGAAACTTACATTATCTTTATCATCCTTGGGGACAGAGGGAATAGTCTTGAGCCATTTTGCAAATTGGACTCAGTATTTTTCTAATGCAGTAGTAATGTTCCTTAACTCACTATTTACATTCTAATTGAGCAATTTGCATTGTTTGATCGACTTGTCATCTGTTAATCTAATATAATCTAAATACATGGACACAACAGGGAAGACCAAGACCCCAACACCCCTGATATATACGGTGATGACTTCTTCCAAACAGAAGTTTGTATTTTTCTCATGTGGGACATTAAGTCTAGGCACATCTAGTGCCAGTCAAAAGCACAGGTCCATGTGTTCCTGTTGGGCTTTGTTTCGCTTTGTCTGCCTTCTTGAGACAGGGTCTCACTATACAGTTCAGGGTGGCCTTGAACTCACATTATAGCCCAGGCTGGCCTTGAACTCAGCAATCCTTCTGTCTCAGCCTCCTAAGTGTGGGAAATAAAGCATGTGTCACCATGCCCAACTATGTTTTGGTCTCCTAAGTTTCTTTTGTTTCTATATTTTTGAGAATTAATTGATTTATAAAAATAAAATAAAAGCATGATTCACCAAAACTAAAGACTATGATGCTTGATAACTCTAATATCTATTGGCTCCATTTCCACACTAGACTATGGTTGTACCTAGTCTTTCATTCAATCTTTATGTGACTCATGATCCTAGTAAAAATAACATTCTCCAGCACATTTATTATTAGGCCACGAATAACACTGACTAATTTATAAATGTTAATGATGCCATGATTGCCTTTAACCAAGTATCTAAAAGAGGAAAATAATTGTAGCTCTTACCCGCAATGGTCTCTTCCTGTCATGTTGGTGTCTGTCCTACGATGTCATAATCCTAGAAAAATTTTACATCCATTTCATGCAACCATTCGGATGGGTACAAGGCAAAGCAGGTCATAAAACCACTAAGGCATGATCTCCACTGACCCATATATTCAACCAGTCCTCCACACCCGCCTTTTGGCTTTGGTTAGTCTATGGTAATAGTTCTTGTAAGATGAAATCAAACTTGCCATGGAGCATGAACCTGTCTACACTTCCCTATGTCTGTCACCCTCAATAAGAGTTGAATACACTTGACCAGTTTATCATTTATCCCAGTTCGTAGTGACATTCACTGTACTTTCTATGTTTGCAATTAACGGTTCTTCACGCTCGTCAACTGTTTTCAATCACACATTGCTTATTCATCCTCCTTTTACCGCAATGCTACTAAAATACATGAGGAGAATGATGGAACCAAGGTCCTTTTATACCCTGACACACGGACACGGGATCCGGAATGGGGAGACAACAGCTGTGCTGGACCTCAGAGTTTCAGACACACGTGCTCACCGCACACAGCTAACACATCTCCGTCGTCACCACTGCTCCACACTGGCTCTCCTTCCCCTCATGCTACACAGACCGGTCTACTCATCAGTTATTCAATAAAGAAATATGCACGCATTGCAACCTGCAAAGGTGATGTCCACAAACATCTGCACTGTCCAGCGAGGACCCATTTCATCTCAGGTCGGCTCACCCCTTCCGGTGCTCCCTCCTGCATGCATACAACACCACGCAAACGTGTTCATCCCCATGATATTAAAAGTGGCATGCGTGGATATCGTAGATTATTGATATATTTTTAAAATCACTGGATAGCAGTTTTTAAAAATGGACTCCAATAAAGAAAACAACATCGACAATATGACTCACGATGGTTCAAGGAAGCATCCGAAGATGCAGACAGCAGACTTCGGGAACATGTGTAAGTCAGCTGGACAGCATCCACCTGAGGAGTACAGAGCAGGACAGACGATGAGAAAGAAGACTGTCCTCCACCGCCCTTCACTTACCACCTTTCATTCAGCCATTTACTTAGCGATCATTATGGGGAGTATATTTATTCCATGTCTTTGACACAGATGACTGTGACCTGCCGCTAAGCATAGTAAGTGTCTCCATTTATACTGAGTACATATTTCTCAGCCAAAAGCTAACCATCATGGACAACTGGCTTCCCTTTGTATTTCAGGATATTTGATGTATATGAACGTTATTTCTTCTTTCACTGCATATTTTGTAATTTGATAAAGCAACGTTTTGCTTTATCTGGCCTGGTTTCCACACTTACGGATTAATTTTTCACTGATGAAATTATACGCAGAGAACGACACACACGGATCCACACTAGGGCTGCTGGGGCTGCACTGCGGAGTTCCAGGGGCACATTCATGGCTGCTAACTCGGCCCAAGATTGCCCACTGGTTCTCCTTTTCTTTCTACCTTGTTTATCAATTCACTGATTAATTACAGAAAATTCTCTGAATGAGAGAACTGTCAGGAATGATGTGCAAGTTCGACATCTTTACAAACAACCACTCTAAACAACGTATCTTCTCTAATACCTATCCTGAGATCTCACAGATGCAGTTCACATACTGTTAACAATAACTGGTTATAATACCTTCAAGGGACTGTACATCACGCTTTTCAGTAATGTAGCAGATATCCTTAAACAATTCAACTAAGCCGTGACAAAAGCCGACACTACTCACGCTGGTCCCGGGTTCTAACACAGTGAGGAAACTGTCCTCTCCTGATGCGGGCGGAAGTGTCATTGTGAGAAGCACAGAGCAGAGCCAGGGATGGAACGGGTACTGTAAAAGATGCCTTGGTCACCTGGGGACCTCTGATGCTCTACCTCAAAATTACAGGCACATTTTATTCAGCATGTTAGATTCCTCTATGGACAAATATTTCGTAACTGCCCCAGGAAAGGCCCATTTGTCTCCACTCTTATCTATATTTGCATTGATGAATCCAATAAATCACTAACATTGTTTAAGGCTTCAGATTCAGAAATGCTCCAAAAGAACATCGGGGATGATGCTCACAGTCTCATTAATTTCAATGTCCTCACATGCCCCACGCTGACACTGTGTGTTTTATTCTTCCTAGGATGAATTTCCCCAGGACCACCCAAACCAAGATGGGCACCGTGAGTAGACTCATGCTGACCTCCAGGCTCCTACGAGACATGCGGCCGTGAGCGGAGACCTTGGAAATTCTTCATCACCTCAAAGGGGCGCTGCGCTAGGACCAAACAAGAGAAAAGAGAGTAAAAAAGAAAAGAAAACCCAGGGCCCTTATTCCATTAAGTCTCAATTTCACATTACACTTGGGAGTAAATATACTTTTTTCATGAGAAACCAAAAATACTACCTTTGTCGTCCTCATCCAAAGAAAACCCAATCATGAAACATTGCAAACTGGGCTTTATTAATAGCATTCCTTAAATCCTCGTGTATTTTTGTAATTAAATAATACTTTGTGAATTATAAAGAAGCAAGACGTACCAACACTAAGGTGAAAGCCAAAATCCTTGCCTATTTCTAAATATACTAATATAATAATTATATATTTCTAAATACATAATTCCACTAAAAAAATGGAGTACATTACTTTTTCAGGTTTGGCTTTTGTTTTGCATTTTTGTTTTTGTTTTTGTTTTGAGCTATGGTCTTACTATTTCACTGAAGCTGGTTTTGAACTCACTACCTAGCTTGGCATTCTCTATACTCCTACCTCAGCCAAACTAGGGCTGGGATGATAGGCGTGTGCCATAATTACCTGCCTAGGGTCACATTACTTTTGTGACCACATGTAAGTGCATAAATTTTTTATTCATTGTGAAGGGTCCATATGACACCAGCCATTATTGTTAGGCCACTGTTTGCCCTAATTTAATTTATTGCTGCATTTGTTTTGAGTAAGCTATTAATTTATACCATTAAGATAACAGAGGATTCACACTTAGGCCACATTTGTGTGATAAACAGTCTCTCACTGTCTTAACTTCTGTTGTATACTGGGTAACAACATATAACATTAGTGTAACATTTTAAAATTCAAGGACACAGATAACAAAAACAACATCTCTGCATATGTGGACATCTGTGCACAGGGGCCCAGAGCACTCAGGGATGGGCAGGATTCCCTTAGTGCTGGACACAGGAGTTCCAGTGACGAGACACACCTCACAGATGACTCACACGCGTCCATTTGTCACCACTGATCCAGTGCTGGGTCCCTCTTCTATAGCCATCTGAATTGATGCACTGATTAATCAATGAATCACACAAATCACAAAAGACATGGAAAACAGATGATGCCCTAACATCCACCTAATCCAGGTACAGACACACTGGTCAAGGCTACTCTGCTCAGTGCTGTCCTCCATGTGTTACGTTACATTTATGTAGTATATGTTTACCTACATATAAATGTAATCACATAGTAAGAAAGTATTGCAAAGTTTCCATTACTCTGATATTAAGATGAACATGTTTGGGTGTCATTGATAGCATTCAATATTTAATAATATAGTAAATATCTTTTAAAAAGTAACCACAACACGAATGATAAGGTCGATGTTTACTCACTGTTGTGTGACCTACAATCCACAGAAGCAGCGAAGGGCTGGTGACCAGGAAGGAATGGGGGAGGTCCTCCGTGGGGCGTCCACTCTGAGGAGGACAGAGCAAGGATATAACATGACACCTTCTTCCCTGACCTTTGCATACAATCTTTCATTTAGTGGTTCACTTAAGCAATCACTGTTTCCAGGGCTCTTATTATGTGGTGCTGAGAAACAAACTCTATCACATGGAGCCAGGTACGGCTGTCTACCTGCACGCAGGGTATGAGGTTTTTTATGCAAAGAGCCAGCAATCAGGTACCATTTACTTGTCCTGGGAATTCAGCTTTCTATCAGTATTCAGTGGATACTGAATCTCTTGCTTCACTAAGAATTTTTATAATTAGACAATGGTTCACCCAATTTCAATTGGTTTACTTGTTAATGACTTGCAGGAACAGTGTGACACACATGAACACCAGGACTGCTCTGGGCTGGACCAGAGAGCTCCAGACATCTGTTTATCATCTCTCACACACCACCGGCAGTCAAGATCATCCAGGATCTGCCCTATTTTTGTCCAACTCTTTCTACATTTTGTTGTTATGGATTAGGTTACTAATTCACAAATAAAAAGTTGAAACCATCTTATTCAGCTAAATTCTAGAAACAGCACTTCTGTACCTACTCCATATAAATGTGTCTGCTCACATCAATATGTCTCCTTTGACAACTGTGGTGTTTCTGACATGCATTATTCCACGTTGCACTTCATATTAACTTGTATTTGTCTTTCTTTGATGTGCTTCACGTAGTCAGCTCCCATTTCTAAGTAATATCATGAATAACCTTAAATAAGTAACATCCACCATGATGAGACCTTTACTACTCACGTGGGTCCCCAGGTGTAATGCAGAGACATCCCCTGGCCAGTGGCCTGGAAAGGGCAGAGTCCCCAGGGCCAAGCTCATCCTGAGGAATACAGAGCACAGCAGTGGACAAAAAAAATGGCACGTTTCTACGGAGACACTCGCGCCTCCGATGATCCCATGGGAGGGACCCCAAGCTACAGACACCATCACTGGTCCAGGAAAGCCTCCTTCATTGACTCCTAACTTTCTTTTGATTTGATGCCTTTTCTAACCAACATTATTTTCCAAATATTTGCTCAACTGTTATACATCATCCAAATTAATGGGGTACAGTGAGAATTTGCTATATATATTTGCAGTGTGATGGATCAAATCAGCATCATTAACTGTTCCATCCAGAGCACTTTGTAAGCATTTGATTTGCATGTCCCAGTTACACATATTTCTGTGAGGGATGCGCCCTTTCAATACATGCATGCAGGACATGCTTTTCAAATGAAAATAGCGAACATGTTCCCATTCACTTAGCATCCGGAACCCTGGAGTTCCCATCTCACTGTTATTTATAAGATACAGAATGGGTTGTAGTGAGTTACGGTGATAACTGGTTATGAAATAATTAATGATATCTGCAGAAGCTTATTATTCACAAAACCCAACACAAGCATAGCTAACTATAAAATATATCCAGAACAATGCTCACGACAACACATAGCATTTGTTAACTGTGCTCAGGATTTTGTAAATGTATTAGTTAATTTAAAAATTTACCCTACTCTCAAATTTATAGTGATTAAAGTCTAAATACAACTATACCCTGTTTTATGTGTACTGGAAGTAAAGCAAGGAGTTCTAAATGAAATACCCTAATCAGGACCACTCGCACTCACCTCTCGGTTCCTGGGGGAGCCGGGACTCCATCGCCCTTGACCGATGGGAATTCCTGCATCCGCTCAGACCAGTGTGGTGGGAGGGAGAAGAAAGAGAACAGATGCTTCCCATCTTTACAAATTAAAACTGAGACATTCAGAACACAAACGCTGCCTGAAGCTTCTCCCATGTGTACGTCTCTTCGCCAAACAGAGAACAGTCAGGGAATTCTATTGCAACGTGGACTTCACAGATTTTGTTAACAGAGTAAAACTCCTCCTTGATTAAGTTTACATCTATGTAATTGAACAATATTTCAGGAGTAGATTGATGTGTCTACTCCGTGTAATTATAATTTAAAAAGCAAAATATACTAATACAAACATTCCTCTGTATTCCTAGATCCGTCTATGCAGAAATGGCCACAATGCTTTGGTTTTGGTGACCTACTGCAAAGCCATCGTGCTGTGGCTCAGCTGACCCCAGGCCACCACCTTAGCTCATTGCTCTAGTTTTCATTCATCTCTACATTTAATTTGAAGTATAACGTAAAATAACAATATGATTCGAAAAACATGATACCTGAGAAGACTAGCAATTCTCTCTAGAACCTCTTATCCACCTGAATCCGTGTCTTTCATGAACCAGTCTCTTGATAGCTCATGATTCACTGATATTCATAATATTTCTGTCACATGCATTATTACTTTCAATTAATTTAATCCTTATGGTTGAGTAAGTATTCCATTGGACCTGTCTCCAAAATTTCCCTTTTCCATTCATCACAGAAAGATACTGAAACTGACTGTGTATCTTGATGAATAGGAAGACACCGTGATAACCATGACCAGGGTGCTATGTGGTACATTTACTGGTACCAAGTCCTTTGCATCTGGAGCTACTAGTGTAATGGATAGGCCATGTCGCAGTTCCATCTGAATTTTGGAGGCGTCTCCTCCACACTGAGCACACAGTGGCTGCACTGACTCCCCTCCCACCAATGGTGTGATAGGGTCACCTTTCTGGACAAGCTCCTGAGTCTGTCATCTTTTGTGGTTTAACAACCATTCTCACTGGGGTGAGAAGGCCCCTCACAGTGGCTCTGATTTGCCTTTCTCTGGTGATTACTGCTATACATTATTCCCTGTTCCTACTGGCCATTCATGCACCTTCTTTAGAGAAATGCCTATTTAGATCTGTTGCCAATATTTTTATATTGCTTATTATTATTAGTTTTTTGCTGCTGAGTTGAGTTCCTAATTTATTCTGGGCATGTATTCTACATATTACGCCTGTCTGAAAATGTTCAGGCATAAAAGAGGATGAAATCTTGTAATTTACAAAAACATGGATAGAATTGGACACAATTATGTTAAGTGAAATAAACCAGGAAGAGAAAGAAAAGCACAGCACGATTTCATGCGTACATGAAATAGAAAAAGCTCATCTCACACACCGAGATGGGAAGCGGCAATTAGCAGATACGGGGGAGGGGGGCAGCAGAGGGAAAGACAGGGATGGGTTGATCAGTGGGTAACAGGAGACAGCTGGAATAAGAGCCTGCCACAGGGGCAGCACACGAGGGGAGCTGCAGAGAGCACCAGGCACTGTACACCTCAGGATGCAAATAAAGAAATCCTGGGTGTCTGAGTCACAGAGAAATGCTAGATGACAGGGAAGCCAGCATTGAACTTAGTTAGAGTCTCACAGGAGATATGCACACGTATGTCCAAGCAAGCCAGGTCTTGCATTACATGTATGCGTTTTAATGATTTTATGTTATCAGATAAAATAAAACCAAAGAAAGGAAATATCTGGTGATGTAGTTTCAAGCTCCTTTCTTTTCCCCTTCCAAATTGCTAATAAAACTGTGAGTCAGTTTCATTTTTAGTGGATTTTAAAAGCACAGAAATGAATACTTCACTGAATACTCTCTAATAATGCTGTGAATACCTTTAATCAATTGCTCAAAGAAGATAATTTCAGGCTCTGACTCACCGTGGTCTTGGACAGAAGACAGTGTGTCCCACAAAGCCTGGGCTCGAGGGGGGTCTCACGACAGCTCTGAGCTGGAGAGGACCAATCTGGGTGGGGAATAAACACACAGGAGTCTCTCCAGTGATCCATATAGGTACTGTGCACTGGCATTGTCTTTTAGGCTTTAATGAGTTATTATAATATTTATTATATAATACTTAAAAATTTTTAGACTTACAAGTGACATGGAGCAATAGCTATCTATTATCTATCTGTCTAGGTCATCTTTCATCCAAGATCTGATAAACTTGATAAATGTCTTGCCTACTAGTTGGTAATACATATTTTTAAGGATCTGACACCTACAAAAAGTTCTTCACCTTTTTCATCTCTGTATTGTTATATATTATTCATTCTGTTACTGTTTTACAGTAATATTTTTAAATTCATCAATAAAAAAAATCAAAAATAAGATCCATCTATATCTCAAAGGCTATCCACTATGTCCCAAATGGGCAGGAAAGGATTCTCTTTGTGTTGGACCTCAGAGTTCCAGTCCCAGGGTGTTCATGGTACATGAATCACAAGACAGTAGATGTCATCATTGGTCCAAGACTTGTCTCCTTCCTCCACAATTGGTGCACTGGTTAATAAATTAATAATTAATAAATTAATTAAATCAAAAAAGACAGGAAAAGTGTAAATAACATTCCTGAGGCCCATCTACAGGGCAAATTATATGTAGCGGTCACCATAACCATTGTGTAGCTCTGATGGCATTTAACAATGCAGTAGGTATTTTTCAAAACAGCAGCAACAACACAGACAATGAGATTGATGTTTACTCACCACTCTCCAAGCTCTAAGCCAGAACAGCAATGGGCTGGCAAGCAGGGTGGGACGTGTGGGCCTCTAGGAGCGTCCATCTGAGGAGTACAGAGCACAGGACAGAGGACAAATGGTGCTTTCCTCCCTGACCTGAGCCTTGCTATCTTTCATGCAGGCATTCATGTAGGAACTCATTGCTTTGAGTATTTTCGTTTCATTGTCCTCTAAAACGGACACATGACCTTGAACCCACCGCCCATCACTGCCCTCTGTACCCAGCATGCACGATTCCTAGCCAAAGGGCTGCCACTCACACATGGCATGTTTTAGTTTTTACTGAATTAAGTTCTCGCTTCATTCCATAATTTTATAGACATACTATGATCCTGGGTTTCTGGGTCTACGGAGCCACTGGTTTTATGAATTCATTTGTAAGAAGGACACGGGACACAGGAACGTCAAGCAGGACCAGGCCTCCGGGGCTGGATCTCAGAGTTCCAGGACAGGTATTCATCGCATCAGACTCATACCCCACAGGTGGTCATCATGCATCCAGCGCTGGTCCGCTCTGCACTTTCCCTGGCCGCACCATGTGGTGGCTCCGTCGCCAAGGCGCTCAGGATAATCTCAAGCCTGTCACTGCGATGTCCCTGAGACAGCCTCGGTGCTCCTGCCTATGGGCATCGCCCTCTCCTCGCTGGGCACCTCCCTCAGTAACTAACGGCAGCTCCCACACCCTCCTTGTGACCACGTCCACACTGGTCACAGTTATACCTGCCCAACGTGACCAGCTTTCACACCACAGTAAGGCAGTGAATGAGCTTCCACACATCAAGAGCTCTCGCCACCACTCACCCTGCTCTGTCCTGCGGTCTGAGGCACAGATGTCACCATGGATGGCAACCCTGGAAGAACACAACTGTCCTGTCAGCTGGAGTATTTGCATTCTGAGGAGCACAAGCAGAGAGGAAGAGATGAGACACGTCCTCCCCTGGCTCCTCCACCTGCCCTCTGTGCCGAACTCAGGGTTTCAGGCACAGATTATTCAGTGTGAAAGACTCATTAGCCAGCAGACATCATCCGTGGTCCAGGAAAGGCCGCAATGTGGAAAGGTCTGTTTCCACATTGTCTATTAACTGTCCTTAAATCACTGACAGTCCTTCTTAAAGTCTGTGATTCTCAGACACCCAGTAAGAACACTGAGGCCTGTCTCATATATCCAGAATGTCGCTCACAGCAATATATATCTTGCATTATGTTTAACTTTTCACATAAGTGACATTTATTTAAAGATTTATCTTAATGCCAACTTTATATCCATTAGTGTTGCTTTTATGTGATTACATTGTACACTTTGAAAAGAGACAAGGAGCTCCCCTAACCTCACCACCCAAGCCAACAGAAGACTTGTCCTTAGTTAAAGGTTAGCCATGATTGAATTTGATTTTCAACACTGTTGCCTATTCCTATAAGGAAATATGGAATGAGGACAGGAATTTTGCCTGTGACTTACACTGGTCTTATCATCCACCATATGGCTTCCCTTGAAGGCTTTTAGGCTTTGAAAAATTCAGGTTATCTAGGCAACATGATAAAGTTCAGATTTGCAATGGACCAAACACGGTGTCACCTGTCATTCTCTATACTATCTTTAGGTCAAGGGGAAATACACTGGATCAGTTTACTGTCTACTCCTTTTATATTCTAACTTAGTTTCTTTACCAGCTATTTAGGAAGAACAAGTATTTTTCCTTGTCATCTCCTTTTATGTGTATGTTTTTGATTTATCCTAGCCTTGACTCCTTAACAATAATAGTTTTTCACTCATCTAATGAAAGCTCAACGACAAAACCACTCTTCCTCCTGATATAGTCCATTGGAATTCTTTAAAACAAAGGGGAACTGAACAAGGTTCCAGTTACGTTGGTCTTTGGAGCTCCAGATATGTGGCACTGGCTGTCACCACTGTACCAAGATTGGTCCTCCTATATTGCAATTGACATTTGTACACTAATTAAGTAATTACTAGAATAAATCACGTGACTCCCAACTTAGAAGCATAATGCACAAACAACCAGCTACAAAAGGACTTTTATATGTAACAATCACCACAGTGCTTTCTTTATCTGGCACTGTCACTAGGATATGTGGAATTCCTCAGTGGTGTTTCATATTGTAGTAAACACTTTTTAAAAAGCAAAGATGCAGATGAGAACACTGCCTTTACTCACAGGAAGGGTCCACAGGATAATCCCAAGAGGCGGCCACATGCAGGAGACCAGGGTGGGATGTGGGGGTTTGCAGGGGGTGTCCATTCTGAGGAGCACAGAGCAGAGCAGAGGATGCAAATGCTTTCCTCCCTGACCTGTGCCGTGCTACCTTTCATGCAGGCACTATTATTCCAAGTGCCTACGTAACTTTCTGCCTCAATGTCCTTGGAAATGGACGCATGACCTCAAGCCTCAGCCCACCCCTATCCTCTCTGCACAGCACGCAGGATTCTTAGCCAAGGGCTGCAGGTCACACATTTCATATCTCAGTGTTGGCAATAAATATTAACAGAATTGCTCACCAACAACATGTATAAATGGACAATGCTTCACCCTTTGGCTACTCCTGGTTTCTGGGTCTACGGAGCCACTGGTTTTATGAATTCATTTGTAAGAAGGACACGGGACACAGGAACGTCAAGCAGGACCAGGCCTCCGGGGCTGGATCTCAGAGTTCCAGGACAGGTATTCATCGCATCAGACTCATACCCCACAGGTGGTCATCATGCATCCAGCGCTGGTCCGCTCTGCACTTTCCCTGGCCGCACCATGTGGTGGCTCCGTCGCCAGGGCGCTCAGGATAATCTCAAGCCTGTCACTGCGATGTCCCTGAGACAGCCTCGGTGCTCTTGCCTATGGGCATCGCCCTCTACTCGCTGGGCACCTCCCTCAGTAACTGACCGCAGCTCCCACACCCTCCTTGTGACCACGTCCACACTGGTCACAGTTATACCTGCCCAACGTGACCAGCTTTCACACCACAGTAAGGCAGTGAATGAGCTTCCACACATCAAGAGCTTTCGCCACCACTCACCCTGCTCTGTCCTGCGGTCTGAGGCACAGACGTCACCACAGTCAGCAACCCTGGAAGAACACAACTGTCAGGGCTGGGGATTTAGCTCAGCGGCATAAGCGCCTGCCTTGCAAGCAGGCAGTCGTGAGTTCGATCCCCGGTACCGATGAAAAGGAGAAAAAAAAAAAAAAAAAAAGAAAACAACTGTCCTGCCCTCTGGGGTGCATGCATTCTGAGGAGCACAAGCAGAGAGGAAGAGGAGATGAGACATGTCCTCCCCTGGCTCCTCCACCTGCCCTCTGTGCTAGACTCAGAGATTCAAGCACGGATCATTCAGTGTGAGACACGTGGGGAATCAGACGTCACTGTTGGTCCAGGAGAGGTCCAGTTCCCTTCCTCCATTTCCACACTGTGTATTAACTGTCCTTAAATCACTGACAATCCTTCTCAAAGTCTGTGATTCCCAGACACCCAGGAAGAATACTGCTCTCTGTCGCCTGTGTTCAGAATGGCGCTCACAGCAAATATCCCTGTGCATTTATTATCCTTGGCTTTTGATTATGCGTCACTTAGCGAAGAGATTTATCTTGCTGCCAACTGCACACTGATGACAAGTGGCCTTATGTAATTATGCTGCACACTTTCAAAGGGACAGAGGCTCCTCTAAACTCATCACCCAAGGCACGACAAGAGTTCTCCTCAGTCCATCTTCATTAATTAAAAATGTCAGTAGTGCTGGTCATTCTCCCAAGGAAACACAGAAGGGGGGACAGGGGGTTCGATTGTGACTGAGGGTGGTGGCGGCGTGCACTGGCAGAGTGACGCCTTGAAGTCTGGGGTGAAGCCATTAAAGAGGACAAAGCAAAAGTCATCCAGACACTGAAGGGCTCCACCCAGAGACTCATGCTGTCTGCCTCTATCACCACTGGGTCCTAGGGATTCTTTTTAATATCTGCACTTCACGAAAACCCAAAACGGGCACTGCCCAGCCACACGGTCACCTGTCACTCACTGTGCTCTCTGTATCCCAGGCTCAACCCACGAGACCAACTAAGTATCTACTCCTTTGGGACGAATCCATCTCCTCCTTATCACTTTCTCCTTATTTTAGTAATAAATTTCTCCCCCTTATTTCTTTTCCTTTATAAAACATTTATCTTAGCTATATTCTCTTACAATAATAGTTTCCTTTTCATCAAATTAAACTCACATACAAGATAATTCTATATCCTGAGGTGGTTCATTGGGATCCTTCCAGGGGGCAGGCGGCCAGTTTGGGGGGACCTTAGTTCCTCCAACACCTGGCACTCATCAAGTACAACTCAGATGTCACCAGCCAGTATTATCCATCCTGACTGACTGTCTTCCTCCATTACCAACTATGTTTATGGGTTGATGGAAAATGAAATACACTTGGATCTAAAAATACAAAGAATGTCAAATATTACTAAAATCAGCCCCAAAAATCACTTCCACAGAGTCCAAATTTCTTGTATGAACTGAGCTCTGTGTTTCACATGTTGGTATTAAAGTAATATTTACTTAATACCAATCAGATATTTCACATTGGTGTTTTCATCTTGTTTGCTTAAATTTATACTTGAAAAAATGCAGCAAATGCCTTTGAAACAGTCAAAACATGACTCTGATTATGGCTCACATTGGGGTTCACGTTCCTCACACAAAGATGTAGCTAAGAGCTCCAGATCATAAGAGAACTCGGCTCCAAAGCCCCTAGTCCGGCTTTACAAAGCATATTAAATCATTAAAAACCCGAGACACTTCTCCTTGGTTTCTGTCTAACATTGTATCCTTCCTTTTCTCTTGTTGGTCACTTAGGAATTCACTGTGTGGAGCCTATTTCTTTACTTGTAAGGAAAAAAACTACTTAGAAGTTTCTTGGACATCGATATTGAACGTCTATATTAATCCCACTGTCTAATCACCCTCAGCCAAGCATTTTACATCGCGGGCACAGGTATTTCCATTGGGCTGTCGACACTCTCACTCCACAATACTATCTTGCCTCACCACTTATGTTAGAATTAGGCAATTCTTTATGAAGAGACATACGATATTCCATTAATTCAATTATAGTGAGCATGCAAATGAACACACACATAAAAGTCACTTTTTATATCACTAATACCTGTCTACTAGGATCAGTTCAAAGTAGAGAACAGAACAGATTTCACCTGCGAAGCTCTAAGAGTCCCAGACACGCGTCCCTCCCTGGTGGCTCACGCACCGCAGGTTAATCATCAGGGGCCCTCATTAGTCCTGTCTTTCCACAGTGGCTTCCACATTCTCAATTGATTAGCTCAGTAATTCACTAATTAATTATAAGCCTTAGTTACAAAATTAAAAGAGGGTTGTATCTTTCATTTGTTTTTTTTGAAACAGGGTCTCACCACCTAGTTCAGGCTGGCCTAAAACTCACACAGTCCTCCTGCTTCAGACCCCTCGGTGGCAGGATTATAAGTGTGCTCCAGCGTGCCCAGCTTGCGAATTCTAATTTGGACATAAAATCATGCCAACTTTGGTATATCTGGGTCATTATTATATGCTTCATATACACATTATCAATGTCATACAGCATTTCTACCCAGAAATGTGGATAGACACTTGTAATCTCAGCATTCTGGGTGGCTGAGGCAGGAGGATTGCAAGTTCGGGCCCATTCGGGTAATTTAGTGACACAGACACTGTCGTAAAAATAATAATAAGAAGAAGAACATTAACAGTAATAATAAGGTGCCGGGATGAAGCTATGTGTGAAGGTTCACTCTCCAGTGCTGCACATGGGAACTCCTTCAGGTTAACCGCCTGTTGATGCCTGGGACCCCGTCAGCCATCTCTGATCCCATCGCACACTGCAGTGATACAATAGACGCTCATAAGCACACCACACGGTCACCCCAGAGGCCCGGTACTCACCCGAGCAACTCACTGGCGCCTTCCCAGCAGCGCAGGCAGAGCAGCTGAGCATGGGGGTCCCCTGCACCTCAGGTCTGCACGCCAGGGCCGTTCTGAGTCACAGGGCAGGAAAGACACAACGGCAGTGAGGCCTTCTCTCCAGAACCTGCCTTCTGCCTGCCCGCACCGAGGCACCGGGCTCTCCCGTCTCAGCACGCTGACCTCACAGTTACAGTGAGTAACAGCGACGTCCCTCTAACGGAGACCTTGGCACGCTTACACTTTAGCTGGTACTGTGACGTTAGTGGCCAGAGCTGAGACACCCGCAGCCTTTGTCTCTCTTCGGACGTGACTGCTTTTCATACACACATTAATACCTTCCTGGACTCCACACTTTATAAGAGGACTTGTCCCAGCCTTCTGATGTGTTTTTATAGGATTATTAAGTTTTGCATTGATCCAGTTAAAAGTAGAATCAACACACACACACAAAAACAAAAGAAATGCATTCTATATTTCTAAAACCTGTCTGTGGGTTCATTTGAAAGGAAGGAATGGGCCCGATTTCTTTCATGGTGGACCTCGGAGCTGTAGACATATATTCACTGTCCACGATTTCAGGCCACCAGAGGTCATCACTGACCCAGGACTGGCCCTTTTCTAAATAATTACTTCTATATTGTCTTTTTATTCATTCTTGAATTTGTTATTCTACTAATTCATGGATTTGTTATTAAATTCAATAATTTTACAGCCTATGATTCATAAAACCCTGACGGCACCTTGGCATTTTTGTTCTGCATCTGGAAATCATCTCAAATCACTGTCTTCATTATCTTGTCTCCTCACATTCATTAATCTCTATAATGCCTTTTGTGTTGGTCACTGAACTTCAATTAATCTTCTTGATTATACTGGACACTTGTCAGTAACAGTGAGCGGCCCCAAGCAAATTGCCTAAACTGAGCTGGGAAATCTGGCTCCAGTTGCGCTGGCCTTCAACCTCCCAGGGGCCTGTGCCCACAGAGGCGGCCTCCGGTTTCAAGGACATGCACTCCAGGGTCACAAAACCGCCCAGCAACAGAGGCTGGAGTCCATGTGCGTTTAGAGTCCTCCTTTTAAAACTTACTTATTCAGTTCTCTCAATACATGTTTTTCTTAATAGAGAACCCAAACTTAAAAACTAGCCCAGAGCAATAAAATTGGGAAAGCCTCAATATTTCTTCTTATAAAAACAAACAAACCAATAACAATAACATTCACTATTATTACTCACTACCTGTATGGTACGTTGCTAAAGAGCAACTCCCCAGATTAACTTACAAGCAATGTTAGTTTTTCCAAATTACATTTACAGCGTTTCTTGCCTCACCTCATGGTTTCTAACTGGACAATGCTTCATTCTCTTTGACTCTATTAACATGTGCAACACTGGTCACTGATTTTTTTGTAACAATACAACTAAAATTTGTGAGCCCCAAGTCCAATGTGTGTATACCAGGTGTTCCTACAGGATGATTTTCTGTGCAGATAACAGAGTGGATCTCTTCCCGTTGCTTACTCAGTTTCAGACATGTGTTTTCAATCATCCGTGTCTTCCTGGCTAACAGTAATTATGACTGATTGGTCAGGATTTGACCTTTTTCTTAATTCATTTTGAGATTAATTGATATGTTGAATTTTCAATTGATTGGTGATAATAAATTCATGTGAATTGCAAAATACAATCAACAATGCCTGTAAGAATCCATAATAACTGTCTATGAGCATCCACTCAGCACCATACCTATCATTAATCAATCTTGGGGTTACACATTTCTTATCAATAACAACACAGTGAATATGCTCAAATGAGCCGCTGATGTAAAGAGCTGCCTTATCACACAGGAGGTCTCCATGCTTTACCACGGCCAAGTGTCCGTCGGCTCCAGGAATTTATTTTGGGGGGCGCTAACATTGCAGGTGGCAGGGTATTGAGACACTGTTGTCATTAGCCCACGCCTTCCAATTCCATGCTGGGAGGCACTGAGGTGTTTATCATTTCGTGCTGCGAGTTTTTTTCTTTTTCTATGAAGCACCTGAACCCAGAGCAGGCTGTTGATCGGCGTGTCTGCCCTGCCACTGACTCACATCCCCTCGGATCTGCGCTTACTTAGTGAACGCCCGGGGCTCAAATCACAGTAATAAAAACTCTTGCTGTACCACGTACTGTTATGCTTGGATATGCTTCACTCTTCATCTTTATACACTGCTGTATTTATTTATTCTTTCATTTATTGACTTTTAATAATAAAATCAAAATCTATGAAGCACCAAGGACTCAAGACATAATCCTTTAATATCACTAAAATCTGTCTAAAGGCTCATTTCCACAGAAGTAAACACACACATCCCAGCTTGCAATGGGCCTCAGCAGGTCATGGTGCTTTACTTATAAACCACGGTTCAGATCGCATCTTTTTGCATCATGGTCCTTCCCTGGCCTTTGCTCCTAGCATCAGAATATTCTTTCTGTGTGGAACAGGACCCACCCTAACTCTCATACAGGGAACAGGCCTTGGGTTGGGACTACAAGCTCCTCCTGCATAATAAAAGCAGATCGAGCCTCTGTCTCTTAAGGAACACTGAGGGGCGACCTAACAGAGAATTTTAAAAACCTTTGAAGATTACATGCTTAATTCTGAATCACGGTGCCCTATATATTTTTCAAATCATAAAACTGGTTTTATGATTCCTGTTCACAAAATTTCTTGTCCTAACGTCTTTTGATAATTGGTCTGGTTGCATGCTTTTCTTTCTATTGATCGTTTACTGACATTTTCACTGGTTCATTGTAATACTGGAATCATCATGCAGGAGCGGACCCCAATCCGGTGAGCAGACACCACATTATTAATGAATCCGCAGGGGCTCGTTCCCCAGGATTTAACACATCAAATCTCCTCTTTAAATGCATTTCAAGCGTGCAGAAATAAGTAATCACAATATAGAGTCAGAATTATTTTCTTACTGATTTGCGCTTGGTCCTTCTTCCTTTGATTTCTTTGGTTTGTTGAATTGGTTCGGCTGGTGTTTTGGTTGGCGGACAATCACCAATTCACTGCTAAATTCAGAATCTAAACTGCTCTAAACTGCGACATGAGCCGGGCAACACAGCAGCGTGGACAGCACCGCACGCCCTAAGTCACACGTGGAAGCCTGGAGGGTAATGTCACAGGGGAAGAGAGTGAATATCTGTCAGTGGAGGATAAAACTTCAGCCAAACATGTAGGTTGAATTACAGGAACCAAAGCCTAACTGGACAGGAAAACTAAGTTCTAGGGTCCCGTGTCCCTGTAAGGGAGCTGCTGTGTTAAGCTCATAGTTCAATTTATAAAGCACTAAAAGAGAGAAGTTTGCTAAATTCCCACATAAAACATTAGGTTTTAAAGGGAAGGAAATACTAATTCCGCCCACTTGACCATTACAAATGTTAAACATCTATTCAAGTACTGCACTGTCAAAATGTGTGATCATTAAGAGAAAAAAAAATATTATGTAACCAAGAAAATAAACTATATTTGAACAATATACAGCTATGAAACTGAGTCGAAAAGTCCACTGTACTACAGTAGATTAATTAATTCATAATCCCTGCTTCAAAGCACAACCTCAGCCCTGGTGCATGCTTAAGTGGCTCTCCTTTCCTTATGTGGGATTTGATTTGAATATTCATATATAACTGTGTCTTTCTTTATTTTTTTCTTTTTTGGTCTTTTTGTGATAGAATCTCACTGTGCAGTTCAGGCTGGCCTTCAGCTCACTTTGTAGCCCAGGCTGGTCTTGAACTCACAACAATCCTCCTGCCTCAGCCTTCCAAGTTCTGGGATTACAGATGCATGCCACCACACCCGGCTCATAGAACTGTTTCTAATTTCCTAAAAAGTAAAGCAGAAAAACACTCACAGGCATGTGAAATAAAGCCACTGGGCAGTTACACACCAAAGTGCATGCTGGCTGGGGTGGGGCCACAGGTGTGATCTGTTTTTAGTCATGGACAACAGTGTTTGTGTCATGAAGTAATCATCTTGTCCCAATAAATATGGTCCTAAAGAGACCATCCTTTAACAGCTTTTTAGACACTCATTCATGATATTTATGTTTACCGGCTCTCTTAGGATCAAATTAATACTCATGTGCAACCCAGCGAAGCCCACAGTAAGGGTTTTAAATATTCCTATTATCTGTCAATGTGCTAATTACCAAGCGAGATAATAGACTGCCTCTTCCTTTGTAATGGACTCTGGAAAGGGGTACAATGGAATGGATGACACTTTAGCGCAGATTTCACTGCATTTCCATCATCAGCTGTGCGTGAGTCGTTCTCATTTAAATTATACGCCCAATTAAGATGCAACACTTAGCGCACGGCTCCGCCCAACTAGGTGCTAACAGCAATTTATCTCCAATATGCTTCTTTCCTGTGCAATTAACAGACCAAGCTATTTTATTTAACAGCATGGGATGTTTCTGTGAAGTATGAAGAGGGGTAAAGTGGGATATTAACCACCTGTGAAATAACTCAGATGGCCTGGGCCGTGCGTCATGTTTCAGAGTTGTCCAAGGATGTCCAGCGTTATGTTATTCTAATCCTTAGTTTATCAAAAATTCTCATCATCCACATTTTCCTGTTTCACTAAGGGGCAGAGCCCTTTACACACCACTGACCAGGCTGTGAACACGATGCATAAGACACACAACCCATGCAGGAATACTGCGTGTGGGCCGCTCACCTCTTAACCAGCACACCACCACAGTAGGGCAGGCGGGTCCGGCAGCGTGGGCCTCACTCCAGGAAGGACGAAATCACAGGAAAAAGAAAAGACAGTCAATGGGTGGGTTCTGTGGCTTTGACTATGAAAGGAATATAATTAGAGGCATGGCAGACATGGAGCAGGAAGAATTCTGTTCTTAGGACTAACTCTACTTTGATTTATTGTATTACTTAAATTATTAATTTTACATAAAGAATGAACATTCTTCAGTCTGCCGCCATCAGTAAGAGAAACAGCTGACTGCAGGTGGGCCTGGTGGCTTCTCCCAAACACAACAACCTTTATAGTCCCTACAAGCAGACGTCCTCTGACAGAGGCAGATTGGTCGCATTGCTGCTTCATGAGGCATCCGTGGGAATGGTCAGTCTTGACCTTATTTATTAACGAATTCATGACTGGTGTGAATGAGTTAATAATTCATGAGCAAAGGAACTAATTTGTCCAACCATGCATTCTTTCTCAAGAAACTAACCATATTTACATTCTGACTGGCAACTGAACTAAATATTAATAATCTCATAAATACAGAACAGAAATGCTGTTTTTAATATCTGCCAATCTGGTATTAATAAAACTAGTAAAATCTGAGAACTTTTTTTTCCTAAAGGCAACACTATAAATAACAGTCCATTCTTAGTTATATTTTTCTTCTTCATTTAGTCATAATTTGAGTTATTCATACAAAAATTAACTTACAAAAAGGCAATCAATGTCATGAAATAAAGTTAGATATGTGTATGTAATATACATGCGTATAATTAGTCTAAGAGTGTGAAAAATAAACTATTTCTTTCCATGTAGGACCTCACATTCTTGGGCTGGCGTGCACCTCAATTTTACAGCTCTTGAAAAGCAAGCATAGTGTATTGCATTCAATAGATATCATTAAAAAAATTCTGAACATGAATATTCATTATTTCTAACTCTTAAATCACCAGCCCTCAATGTAGGTCTGCATAGGACTCTCCTGTTCTGGGTTTGTGTCTACATTTGGGCATTATTTAAATCACCAATTCACTAACAAGAAAAAATAAATATCCAAAAGTCACAAAATGCAAGCAAAGAATTTTAGTGTCTCTAACATGTGTTGATTAAATTATGTCCCCACAGGAATGAAATTTCGTTTCTAATTGACCTCAGGGTTACGTATATAAATTAGCCATCATAAATTATATGAATCTCATTTTTAAGATTGGCCCACGGTTGGCCTTCACTGATTATATTCCAGTTTAAAATAAAGGAGGATAAATTTCTGTGATAGGTAGGAAATGAATGCACCTTCAGATCACAATGTTACGAGAAACAAATCAGACACGTAAGCTTCCATATCACACAGCTTCTCTTATAGAAGAAACCCAATTATAAACACATTAAGGCACAAAATAAAAGACAGGCGGCAGGAAGCTGGGAGACAGATCTCTCTGCACAAGAGAAGGGGACAGAGACGGAGGCCAGTGGGCCGGGAATAAAGAGCAAAAAAGATGAGTTTGCACGTGTACCCGCTCCCCACGGTGAAGGTAACCATACTGTGCAACTCAACTTAATAAGAGCTTTTGAAAAATAAAATACAATGATACTTTTGCTTGGTTTGATTTTGGTCCTGAGAGTTGAACCCAGCACCTTATAAGTGAGCTACATTCCCAGCCCTTTCTGAATTTTAGGACAAGGTCTCACTCAGTCCCTACACCGCCCAGGTGAGACTCACCGTGAGGAAACCTCCTGCCTCAGCCTTCCAGAATGCTGGAGTTATAGGAGAGTTCCACCACGCCCATCACGTGCCTGAAAAAGAAATTAAAAACACAAGAACCTCAACGGTTAACTCGTACTGATCTCTTATGCATCCATATATTTGAAGAGAATAAAACCAAATGACACAAAACAGAACAGAGTCAATCAAAACAGAAGGATGAACAAGGCACATGACTTAAAAGCAAACTTCAAGAGGGTCAACAATGGCTACCGGAATGCATGAAGGCAATCTTATGTCTTGCAGCTGTAGAAGCAGTGCTGTAAATCAAGGCCCCCGCACACACTCTGAGGAGGAACCAAGCTGATTTTAGCACTGACACTTCGCCCTCCTCATCCCTGCCTCCCACATCTCATTTATCCAGTCATTTAGGGATTTATTAATTTTTCCTAGAATATGCTTGGCTTAACAGAGTGAATCGTGAAATGATTGACCCACAGCAATATAACTGCCTCTTACTTCTCGGTGTCTGTGATTATCAGTCAGAGGTAACCCCTTGAGCTATTTATTTCTTAATGAGATTAACGTTCAGCTTCTGTTACTAGCATACTGTTCTTTGCTTTGTTGTTCAAGACTGCCTCGGTATCTTCCAATTCACTGAATTGTGTATTTAATACTTCCATCATGAATCAATTTTTAATAATAGTAATAATAAAGGGTTGATGAATCTAAAATAAAAGAACACTAGCACTTTATAAATTTCTAGCATAAATCCATGAAATCACTTAAAATGGGTACAGGGGATCCACCATATTCCTTTTTCTGCAGACAGTAAGCTCCCAGATACTTAGTAATCATCAACACACTACTGACTGGAATCAACGGTGCCAAGTTCGGTGTTATTTTCTTCATACAATTCTGCACTGACTCTCCCTTCAGGAATAGCAATAATTACCATGAACTGTACAATCTCAAGGGAAAGATCCCAAAGCTCCCCCACCAACCCACAGATCCACCGTGTCACCCTAGGTATGTACTACTTTTCAGGCATTTTCATTGATATAAAAATGTATTTCTCTTATATGAGAAATGCAATGTATACATAACTGAAGAGCAAAATAAAAGATAATCAGAAACGGAGAGGCAGGCACTGTGGAGACGGGAAGGAGACAGAGGGAGGCGGGGCGGAGGGAGGGAGAGATGAAGGACGTGGTGTGCGCATGCAGCACCAGAGATGGCTCAGGACGCCTCACGTCGGACTCACACCTCTCTCTCGCTGTGCCATGGTCGGCCTGGTTAAGACAACAGTCTGTGATAGCCCAAACAAACAAGCGATTCGAGTCGGTCTCCACACTTGTGCACTCAGGGGCAGCGGGGAGCTCTCCAGCGGCGAGGTCGGCAGGGATGTGTGTGGTCTGTGAAGTACAAAGCCACGTACAAAAAGACAGCACTGAGCGCTCTTGCCATCCAGCAGAGGCAAAGCCCACATTCCTTTCTTCTTGGACCTCAGAGTTCCAGACACATAGTCATCACCTGTCACTCACATGCCACCGGTGGTCATCACTGATCCATGTTTGAGCCTCCTGTCATCATGCTTTCTTCATTTTTATTGAATTCATTATTTAATCATTGATAATAAAATGAAACTTGAGTGGAACCCCAAGAATAATATATCTGAATTGCCACCACAGTTTAACCTTTGATTATCTAAACCCAATGTTCCTCATTATCCAGTAATCAGCATGATTTTTCATATTACATTCATCCTTGGGCCACAGTTAACTCATTAGGGTTAACAAGTTTTAATAATGACAGGAATATTGTGAAGCAAATTGCCCAAAACAAGGAATTGGACTCTTACTCACTCTGGTCTCACATGGATCCAGCACAATGTTTAAATTGGTTGGATGCACACATTCTAGAGAGTGGAAAACAGAGAAAACGATTTGTTAAAACCCGAGACAGTCTTTGCACTGATGCGTATTTGTATCACTTATTTATTAGTATTTAAGTATTTATTACTTTATTATATTTCATTTCATCTTCTTATGACAGATACCAAACTTGCCCCTGACTCAGAGCAGTACCACTGTCATTGTCTACATCATCCTGAGTTCAAGAGGTAACACACTTGATGCACGGAGAATCTCTCAATTTTAATTTACATAATATTAATTTATATTTTAGCCACTGACCATATATCATTCTCTTTATTTTTATTCATATGTATATACGTGTGTTTCTTTACCCTGCCACTGCTATTTTAATATCTTTTTTTAAATCCATGAACAAAGACAAGAGCAGAGTCCCTGAGCTCTGCCTATAGAATCTTTACAATAGGGCAATTAGACTAGATCGCCCCTGGGAAGGACCGCCAGGGACATGCTCAGCACCTCTGGCCACTCGCCTCTGTTTGGTAACCTCTTATAAATATCTACATTGTCTATTAATGATTCTCCATTCACTAATAATAATAATAGAAACAAATATCTATCAATCACAAAAACTCAAAGGTAACATCCCTACGCATCTCCATTATCTGTCTTTGCAATCATTGTCCTCTTTGACTACACCTCTTTATGGGTGCAAGTATCTACAGCCCCACATAATGGTGCCTGTGGAGTTCGCGTTTACCTGTGGAACAGGGTTGGCTCACTTTCACTATACTTAAGAACGTTTGAATATTATACAGAAGACCATAAGCAAACACCTCAAACCAAAGAATTTGAGAGGTACTCACACTGGTCTACAGGCAACCTCAGCCGGGCAATCTTGGTGTTCCTGATGATGACAGCCACGTGATTAGTGACCTAAGGTTTGCCAGCCCTAAGGAGTACAAAGCAGAGCAGATGTTCACAGAGCTGAGACATTCTTTACGGCTCCATCTATTTGACCTTTCCCTTAGTGCCTTCAGTGTGCATGAATGTGGGGCGCTGGGTATTCACTTTCCATTACAATGAACAACAATGTATTTGCTCTGATTCACAATGAGAACTCTATTTATACTGTCTATATCATTCCTCATTAAAGAACTTCTTAACTATTTCAGTGAGTACCCTACACAAACTGATCAAAGCAAGACCAGAGCTTTGACTGCATCCATGGGAGCCGAGAGCATTTCTGGATGTTCTTGTGTCTATTTAATATTTTTATTGACAAAATGAACATCCTTTCAAAAATACACAAACAAAAATGAAAACCTCTGGCTGTACTCAAAATATTGATTTCTTTGACCCTCCCTCCTACAGCCCAATACAGGACACCATAGGCTTCATGACTAAGAAAAATAAAATGTTAAAATCATTTTGGAAGCATCCACTCAGTACAAAGGGAAACTCTGGGAAAACTGGTGACTCTCCCATCTCCCCTTCATCTCATTGGTCATGACTCACTAATAAAATGGTGATATTTGTCTTCTTAATAAGCATCACTAAGCATGGGTCTAACCTTAACAATTTCCCAAGCACTAACACAATTAAAAAAGTTACCAGTGTCTGCCAGTCAAGTGGGAGGTTGTAAGTTCGATTCACAGTACTAAAATAAAAAGGTTGAAAAAGACTTCATGAACACGGGGGCTGGGGGTTTAGCTCAGCGGCATAAGCACCTGCCTTGCAAGCAGGCAGTCATGAGTTCGATCCCTGGTACCAATAAAAATGAAAAAGACCAAAAAAAAAAAAAAAAAAAAAAAAAACCAAAAAAAAAAAAGACTTCATGAACACGAAAACTAAAACATCCTCAACTACTAACACCTCCCCCTAGGATGGCGAGGTGCACAGGAGATGCCTGATAGCTTGGATCTCAGACCTCCAGACCTGCAGCACCATCCGTGGCTCACTGGTCACCAGCCATTCCTGCTGATCCAAAGCTGGCCTCCCCCTTAACCTTTAATTTCTATTTGACTCGCTAATAATAATCAGACATCAAGAAATCCCAAGAAATTGGGAGCAAAAGAATATAAAAATTGATAAACATTAATAATAAAATTAATAATAATCCCTAATGAAAATCAGGTACCCTGTAAAATACCTACAGGATTTTGACCATATTTGTATATCTTTCACCTTACTCTTAATTTTATAAGCATTGGTTAATAAATACAGTATTTCATGGCCATTTTACATTTTTCCTTGGACCACAGTAGGATTTATTGGATTATATACAATACTTTAACCAGCAAAGAGAACACCTTTTAAAAAACACCGAAGACAGGATGAAAGTTTTTACTATGCTCACAAGAATCACACAGAGGGAGACGCAGACCTTGCGGAGAGGGAAGAATTCTTCTGTTGGTGCAGCAGCATCCATTCTGAGAGGACAAAGCACAAAAGATAGCAAAACTTGGCATGCTGGCCATGTACTCTTGCATTCTTTCCTCATTCCATTGGTCATTTTTGAAGGAAATAAATTTTAACAATATGCATTTTTGGAGGAAAAACACAGACCACTTGGAATCTGACCCAAGGAGGGACTTAAGGGATCATTTGTAGTGCATTGCCACCATCGAGCAAGAGTGCTATGACTCTGAGTTTGTTTTTTGGGGTTTTTTTTGTTTTGTTTTGTTTTGCTTAATGGGCTGTACACTCATATACTAATGTTGTTTCTTCCCCAAAATTTATTTTCATGATTGGCCAATTTTTTTACTACTTATTGATACATTTCATCCAATTCCAAAAATACATTGACAAAACCCAAGAACGCCCTTGAGTATCCCTAGCACCTACTTCTGGGATTTGAATGTGCGCACCAGGTTTCTTCCGGCACTGGACCTCAGACTACCACAGTCAGTCACCGTCCGGGACGCGTACGCCACCAGTGGTCATCATCGATCCAAGGCCTCCTGGTCCCTACTGGGCTCCATATTAACTTCCTGTTCATTTCACTACTCAGTTTACAACCAGGAATCACAAAATGCTAATGACAAGTCCTTAGGGATACTATTGATATTGGCAGGATTTTTCCCAACAAGATGTCGTTCATGGCTGCTAATTTTTGACAAAGGGTTTTCAGGACCATTTAGTATTTCTCCTTGAGCCATGGTTGACATTGTACATTACTACCTTGAATACCCTTAAACTCCACCCAAGTGAAGATAATAACTTAATACTCACATCGGTCTCCACGGTCCAAACACCAGGAACCTCAGACTTCATGAGCAGGAAAGAACACCTGTGTCAGCTCGGAGGCACCCATTCTGGGGATACAGAGTACACCAGGTTATAGCAGGGCTGATATGATGCCCATCATTTATTCTTGGACTGCCACTTTTATTTTTGCGATTCATTTCAATGTTTACCTGTGTTATTTCCTTCTTAAGAAACAAACGCTGAATCTGTTTCTGACTAGAATAAGGATTTAAGCACTTAATGTTCAGTGCACAGAGCTTTCAAAAGATGTAGACTCTGATGCATTTATTTCCTAAGAAACTTCTGTACTTAAAAAAGAACAGTATTAGTATTTTTTGCCTTCATATTGTTTTCCTCTTTGGCACATGCCTCAAATTTTTCCTTTTTCTAATATAACTATCAAAGTAGAATGCAAATGTATGAACTCAAAGAAAAAAGTAAGTCCTCTTTCTCAAACATACCCCTAGGAAAAAAGGTATGCAGGAACGTCTCACACTGTTCTGGACCTCAGCCTATCAGATCTGTAATCACCTCCCTGACACACTCTCAGTGGACTTTAGGGATCCAAAACTAGAACTCCTTTTGTTAATTTCTAGGTTTGCTTATAAAAAATTGTTTTACTAATAATATGTAGAATATTATGAATCAGAAACATCTAACAAACAAATCCTTAATTACACTTTTAAGACATATGCAGGATCTTTGACCACACTGAGTACTTCTCTTTCCCTTCCTATTAACTGTACAAATATTAATGAATTAGGACAAAGTTATAATCATGCTACTCTTATCATTGAGCCGTGATGGATGTTTCTAGTGGCTTCTATCCAGGTGTCTCCCCAAAGCCTCATACCCTCAGAGATGGGGCTTTCCAGAGGTAGGTAGATTTAGGGTGTGTGACATGGATTCAGGGTATAATGATTGGATTTGTCCAATGATCAGTGAGCACTGTTCTGGGTGTGGATAATGGGAAGCCCCACCCTGGCTGTGGGAGGGATCAACCAATAGGATTGCAGCCTGGGAGGGATGAAAAGGGAAAGGAAGGCTTCCTTCCCTTCTCGCTGCTTTGTTGCCTCTTTCCTGCACTACCATAAACTCTTCCTCCTCTGCAGTGCCCCTTGGATACCTGCTGACAGTGCACTGAAATCTCAGATAAACTTTTCCTCCATTGGGTATATTGTGCTAGCTGTATGAAAAGTGACTAAGACAGCATTCTTGGGTTATATGTAATGCTTCTACCAACCCAGTGAGCACAATATAAAAACCATGCCCCCAAAAAACAAAACAACCCAAGCCAACACACTATCTGTGTACTCACATTGGTAGCCATGGTCTTAAACATACGCAGGGTAACACAGAACACATAAGGTGGGAAGAAGGGTGGGACTTTCCATTCTGAGAGTACAAACAGAAAAGAGTATAAAAAATTCAGTCTCTGTTCATTTATCCTTGCATCTCTAATTTCATTTCATTAATCATTTCAGTAGGAAGTAAATTATAACTTTTGAAGAAAGAAAACATTGAACATTTAGTACATGGTGTTAACAAGGACACAGTCCTTATAGTTTACACATTTGAGGTTTTTGTCTTTTAATGATTTAGGTGATTTTAAATATACAAATTACATACTTCCAGGTATCCTATCCTATCTTGTATCTTTATAATTATATAATACCTCATGCTCTATCTGGTATAATGCTTCTATTAATAAAGTTGGAAAAGTAGATTGCAACTTCTTAAACCGAAAGACCAAGAACCCCCTTAAGTATCCTTAACACCTACCCGCAGGACGACAAGTTACATACAAGATGTCTTACAGTGTTGGACCTCAGACTTCCAGAGGTATAACCATCAGCCATGATGGCCACCAGTGGTCATTACTGGTCCAGAATTGGCTTTCCCTTGTTTTCTTAGTTTTACATGATATTATGGACCATTAATTTCATTAGAAACTCAAACATGAAGAGGCATGTAAAATGAATATTATCCTTGGGTATAATTTGAGCTAACTATAAGCCATTTTGTCATACTGAGTAGGCTTTCAACCAAAATACAAAACAGCGGTGTTTCAGGACCGTTTCTTATTTGTGAGTGAAGCATGGCTGACATTCTTAGATCATTTATGCTTCCACCCAGACAGTAAGCCTCTTTCAAAAACTGCCCAACACAAGCTAAGAGCATTGTCTTCACTCACATCGGTCTCCACGCTCCCAATACAGAGGCAGCCACAGAGCTCCTGGCCGGGAAATGCTTTGGTGAGCAGGGCGGCACCCATCCTGGAGGACAAAGCAGACGATTAGAAAAAGTGACGCCTGCCCATTTATCCCTGTACCTGTTCCACTCGTGTATTTGCTCTTTCCTTTCACTAGTCATGCAAATAAGAAACAAATTGTGACTATATTTTTTTTTCTTGAGAAAACAAACAACATTGAACATTGGGCTCTTTGACTGTACCATGCACTCTGGTCATTATTGTATAGAATACCTTTGAACGATTTATTTATAAGTGGTCTTTGGTGTGTTTAAATATATTAATAATAGTTCTACTCACCAATTTATTTTCAAAGCTGGCAAACACCACTCCTTTATCTTTATTTATATATTTGTGTAATGGTTCTGCCATTAAGTCAGTTACAAAAATAAATGGAAACATCTTGGTTAATTTTACATATCTATAGCTGATTGTCTAGATGGCTATTTTGAAAACAATAAAGGGCATTATGGTACCATTGTTAATTTCCTATTATTTTGTTTTGAAGTCCTGTATTGTTTTCATTGTTTTGTTTTGTTTGGTCTTACACTGTTTTATTTTGTTTGATTTTATTATGTCTGATGGAGTGGACCATTATGAAAATCACAAGATATCTTATGTTACTGTTGTTGATGCCTTATGATCCTGTTTTTAAGTCCTGTATAATTTTCGCTACTCTGTTTTGATTAGTTTTATTCTGATTTATTATTTGGCTTTGTTCTTTTTATAATAAAGGGTTTTTTGAATGTAAGAAAAAAACATTGAAATTTCCTCAGTGCAATGACCAAGAACACAATGAACAAGAGTAACACTCCCGACTCCTGCAAACACCCATCCCTAGGCTCAGGAGGTGCACAGGAGACACCCTTAGCCTTAGACCTCAGACTTCCAGAGCTACATTCACCAGCCCTGCCTCGCACACCACAAGGGCTCATCATCGACCCAAGGTCCTCTTTCTCTGCATTGATTTATAAATCTCCTTGTTCCTTAACTTATCATCTTATTGATGGTATTTAGATAACTATGAATCATATGCAGAAAGGAGAAAACCTTGAACTATACTCTCAAGCTACCTACAGGATGTTTTGCCACATGAAGAATACACCTGGACTAACCCTTAATTGTACAAATGCTGGTTAACTATGTCAGTCACTTTAGAGTTTCGTGGTGATGCCATGCTTGTCATTGGCCATTAATGGTGTTCATCAGTTGTGTATGAACATTTCTACAAATTCTGTGAAATCCACTTCCCAACCACACAAACCAAGGCTAGAACGTTGACCATACTCACCTTGGTCTCCGTGCTCCTCACACACGGGAGAAAAAGACCCTGCAACCAAGAAAGTATGCTGTGATCAGGGGGAGATTCCATGCTCAGTATGAGGCTGAAGGGACTGCAAAAAGTGGATATTATTTCCACTTAATCCTCCTTCATCCACTAATTTCACTGACCTCTTAATTAAGAGTGAAGTGGTGTGGGTATTTCTGCAGATAACAAACATCAAAGCCCTGTTTCCATTTTATCTACCGTCCTCAGCCAAGGTTGCAACAAGGGTTAAGATTTTCCCTTTCTTAATGGACTTGCATGTGTCAAATACAAAAATAATGTATTGATCTTCATTATATATTTTCACTACTGGTCCATGTGTCAGGCTCTTTATTTATTACTACATACATATACATATTTATTACCATGCATACAATGGTTATTCCATTGATCCAATTAGAAAAGCAAACAGAACTCTCGTGAGCACAAAGACTGTCTGAAACACCACTAGCACTGGGCCTAAGACCCTAAGGTGCCGAGAGTTCTCCTGGTTGGGACCTCAGACGCTGAGAGCTGTAGTCATCATCTATGACTCATACGACTCCAGTGGTCATCACCGATCCGCAGATGGCCCTCCGCTGGTGAACTCTACGTTAACCATGGACCAGTCATCTCATTAATAATGAACGTAAGGAAACTACCTCAGCTACAGAAAAGGCTTCCTCTGATGTGTGTTTGTGGGATTTATGTCAAAAATCAGATGGCTGAAGATTTGTGTAGTTGTTTCCTTAACTAATGTTCCATTTTAGTAGTCTTCGTATCTATTCTTGTGGCAAAACCAGGCTTTTTTAGCTATATTCTTCTATCCATTTTCTTCCTTTTTCTGCTCTGACTGAATTGATTAATGAATGCAGTTCCACAACCTTGTCACAATTACTATGTAACCATGCTTGATTCTGTTCCATTACCCACTATGCTTTTCCATGTAAAGAAAAGAACTTTGTTACTCACATGGGTCTCCAAGCGCCTAGAACAAGGAGTCAACCATGACCTTCATGCTCTCAGAAAGAGGCTGGTGTCAGTGTAGAGCATGCATCCTGGGAGTACAAAACAGAAAACAGTGATTTTTTTTTTTTTGAGGGGGATTACCAGAAATCGAACTCCTGGCCTTGTGCTGTCATGGAGACACTGGGCCTCCGAGCTGTCCCCAACCCCAAAGCAGAAAATGTACAGATTTAAGTTTTTTCTCTTTTCCCTTCATCCTGCCTTACATTTCACTAGTCATTAAGTACAAGAGGCAATGTGATCACATATTCTTCCTAAGGAAACACGTAACACTGGACAAAAGAAGGACTTAAAGGCATTACACTTACTAAATATGGCATGCACTACCAAGGCTGCAATATTGTAGTGAGGGTTTTTGTTCACAAGAGTTGAATTTCTTGGCACATTATTGTTCATCACTGGTCAATGCTTCAGACACTTCATTATTTGTGTATTTGTTCAATGACACTTTCATTGATCCAATTAGAAACACAGAGTGAGCCTTGATGACTGAGAACCACCTTGACTACACCCAGGCTGTAGTCGTACGGTCTAAAGTACATGCTGGAGGGCTTCCTGTGCTGGGACTCAGCCCGTACAGCGGTGGTCACCATCCCTGCCTCACTCCCCACCAGTGGCCATAACTGATCCAAGCCTGGCCATCTTTATCCACTAAGTTACTTACTTATTTTTGGTACCAAGACGCAAACTCAGAACCTCGAGTTTGCCAGGCAGGCCCTGCACTGTTGTGCTAACTCCTTCGCCTTTCCATTACTTTCTCCATTGGGTCATGCACTGTTTACTTCACTAATATTAATTAGGCATCACTAGGAATCATAAAACAATTAAGAACAAGATCCCTTGGTGCACCGTGAGCTGACTGCAGGATCTTTTGCCACAGTAAATAGGTCTCTTCTTAGCCAATCTTAATTTCACAATTACTGATTAAATTACAGAGCACGTCATGGCCATTTTCTATTTCTCCTGTGACCAAGTCGCCATCCTTGGGGTACACGTGAGGCTTCCACCAACACAATGAACATGGTTTCACATCCACCCGAGCCCCCGCACTCACTTGGGTCTCCCTGGGGACCATGGGTGTCATCGGCAGGAAAGTGCTCCCCTCAGGTCGGACACAGCCGTGCTGAGAGTACAAAGAAGAACAGGGTATTTTAAAAAATAGTATTTGTCCACTTACCCTGGAGCCCTTCCTTGTCTTAAATTAGTCATTTAAAAAGGAGCCAAATTGTGATGTATATTTTTTAAGCAAAACAAAAAAACCACAGAACATGGCTCTGACCCTAACACTATCTATTGTCTGTTCTAGTCACACAACAGTTCAAACTCTAACACTTCTAAATCATTTCTGAACAGAGTTCAGAATTTTCCATATATATTAACATTGCCTGTCATCCATTTATTTTCACAACTAGTCAATGTGTCACATGATTTATCTTTATTTACATATTTATATAATGATCCATGCATGGATCTTACTGTAAATAAAGAGTAGAAAATCATGAACACAAAGATCAGGGATAAGATGCTGACTATTCTTAATACCCGAGTAATTAAATAGTGGGCCGCAGTGTTCACTTCTTTGTGCATCACAGCCATATAATATTATACCTGTAATTTCACAGAAACTGTACGATATTAATGTGTACCTGAATAGTCTTTAGACACAGAGAAACCATCAGTTCACATTTTTAACAAAACTTCAATTTAAACATAGTAAGAGTTACTGGTTTAATCACAATTAGTTATATGATATAGTCTTAACATAGATCCATATCTACGACCTCTCAACTAGTAGCTATTTAATAAACACCTAATATAAGTATTTTGTCCTTTTCTTAATCAGACAAGGAACCTGACCTAGTACAACAACAGAGATGCTAACATCTAGTTATGTAAATGTTCCTTACCCAAAAGAGCCCACTTTGATCAATTTATGTCACTGAAATTCAGTGCTTCATAAATGTATCATTAGTCATGGCTCTTCCTGCAGTAAGTACTTTCATATTGATACCAGAAATAACCCATTTTGTCTTAAGTCATTTATATTTTTCTTGATTTATGAACTGTTTCACAGGAAAAAAAAATAATAATCTATACCCAGAAGTCTAATAACACAATCCATATTGTCTTAAGCTCCTGAAATATGCCTATTTCCCATAAAATCATAAATGCAAATCTTCCTGTGATGGATCTCAGAGTTATAGGGTTTAATCAAAGTCCTTGATTCAGACACCCCAGGGTACTCATCATTGATCCAGAGTGAGCAGCCTTTTTCCTTCATTTGTACTTTTTTGTATTAATCCATTTGGTGCTTTTCTAGCAATAATAAAATTAATACTAATGAATTTTTTTAAAAAAAAACAAGCCAGAACAACAGCCCCAAACACAACCAAGATATGTGTGCAAGGCTGTTTTCCCACCGACAAGATGTTCCCAACAGCGCACCCCTCTCCTGTAACAGACCTCCGCACAGCACAGAAGGGCCAATTAACACCTTTGTGGTGGAAGGGTTCGGCCTCCTCCAGCGCTTCTCTCCCACCTGCTCCTCATCAGGAGCTGCCTAATAGAGAGCCCTGGGTGTGAGGCGCAATGGTGCTGTGAACTGCACTCTCCCAGACAGTGCCCAGACCACATGCATCTCCCTCCCTGCTCGAAACAGGGCCGGTGCAGCCAAGAAACCTAAGCCAAAAACTCATTTCTACAGAATTACCTTAAAGGCAAATAGCCCCAGGTGGAGGAAGCAGCCAGTTGGACAGGGCAGCCCTAGATTTTATTACTGGATATATATTAACGTAAATGCTGTGCAAAAATCAGAAGGGTTTTTCCAACGCAAGGAAAGAGTCCTCTCTTACATTTTAACCACAGTTATGCTTAAGCAGATAAATCACAGACTTTGTTTCAGAATACCCTCATCTCATTGGTCTGTTTATACCAGTTCAAAAGGAACGAACGCTAATGAGAATCTGCTGCAGTTATCAGGATTCTTCGGTGTTATTTACGCGGGTCCCTGGGATTCTTACCTAAGACGGTAACAGCCCAAATCTTCCTCCACAGAGGTTAAATCTGCCACCACTTCACTCCACAGCATCACACACCGACTTTGAAAAGAAAGAATAACACAGATTTAGATCATATTAAAAGACACCAGCTGTGTGCTAATCATAAAGTTGCTTCAAGTCTCTTTTCATTAGTGACCCAATAATAGAAAAGTTCCAATTTACTGATCTATTAATTCTAACTAATAAGGTAAACATTATTAAAGTCATCATTCGAAGCCACGAATTATCAGGGTTGCACACTACAGATTCCTTATCCAGAGGCAAGGGCATCTATAATCCTGTTTTTTGTGGAGTCAATTTGTGAAGAAACAGGTGAGATTACATGCATGGTTGATTGCCTATTCTCATATTCAAACTAGGAAGATGGCATTACTTTTATGCTTTTCTTTGTTTTTTCTTTTTTGTTTTGATTTTGGGGTAGTGGGAATTGAACCCAGGACCTCCTGCACGCTAGGCAAGTGACCTACCACTAAGTCGCTTCCCCAGCCCTATCTCACTCCTTCTGGGCTCTGCCTGCTTTTAAAAACATAACCATGATAAGGACCTATTGTATTCCAAAGCAATCATTCATCAACATAAGAAATAACTAGTGTTAATCCAAAACCGGGAATAATGCTGTTATGTCTCCATATGTTCCTCCCGTTGCCCGTGGAGATTCAAAATCCAGATGCATTTGTTTAAATACAATACTGCACCCCATTAATATGTATAATTAATATAAGTGAATCAAGAACATAAATTTTAAAACAGATGTTCCTTCACATTTTTAATAAAACTCATGTTTGGATTAATAACTCCTTCCCTAGGGATACTCTCAAGATGAGCTCTTCTCATTCTTTCTGCCAACTAAATAACTGCTGAATCTGTTGTTTGTTTTTTAATTTTCCTCCCTCTAAGTACAAACACCCAGCAAACACCCACCTACATCAAACGATGGCACTGAGACTTCTGTCTGCACGCCACTCACTATGCAAAGTGGCGATGTCTTTACCACTATTTGTCACTGGGACCCAGCAGTACAGAAATAGTGTATTGGAATAATCCATGCTCCACCATCTAGCTATGCTGAATTCCAGAGATTTTTATAAACTCCACAGAGGACAAAGAGAGGCCACTTTTGGAAATGGACCTCAGAGTTCAAGATGGCTTTAATCAAAATATTTGATTCAGACACCCTCCAATCTCATCATTGGTCCAGGCTCGGCGCTAGTGTTCTCCCCCCACTTCGCCTTGGTCCTGAATCCGAATATGAAGTGCTCGGATGGGACAGGGCCCTGAATCTCATTTACTGTCAGTCTGTCGATATCCGTGCTCCACAACAGCCGTGTCCACGGACTCAGCCTGTATTCTAAGGATGCTGTCATTAGCAATCAAAACCCAAGGTGGCACCCCAAAACCAGAACCAAAGCAACATGGGTCACCGTCTAAGAGATTTTTCTAATGTGTTAAAGGCCCACATTGTTAACAGTATGGAAATGCTTAACTCAAGCATGCTGCAAAAATAATATGGAATACCAAAAAAGAGTTGTGGAAATTATCCTAATGTGGATGATCTTTTTAAAAAAGGAATCTCGGTTCTGGAATGGGTTCCCCCCACTTCTCTATAGGTCCATGGTGGGCACTGTTGAGTTTAATTTTTGTGTCTTGGGTTCCTGCTTCCGTGACTATATATAGAGAAACCAATAATAGAAATTCTGATTGTTACTCACACAGCTTCTTACCTGTGACAGTAACAGCCAAGATTTTCGTCAGATGAGAAAGAGCAAATCCAGTGCGGGGCGCTCATTATGGAGGAAAAGACAGATTGCAAAATAAAAATGCAAACATTAAAATGTCAATAGACTATTGAGTCGAGGTGAGAGCTGTACCACTAAGTGAATCACAAACACTGATCGGTGTGTCACACTTTCCTCCTCAATCCATCTGTGACATCATTTGCAAGCTCTGCCTCACTCCATTTTTCGTATGAAATAACACGGTTAAAATCTTTAGATATATCACTCAACAGAAAACCAATGAAGATGATGTTCTGCCTAGACACCTCTATCCAACAGCACCAAGGACAGGGAATGGTTAAACTGGGAAACTTTTCCCAAATGGCACAAATTTCAATTTGTGTTTTGGGCCACCGATGAGCCGTCTTGTACTGTATTTCATGGATGTACTGATTCACTTGTTTACTGACTCTCAGGATAATTTAATAATCTACTGTTTTTCCCTAAAGAAAACACAAAACAGCAGCACCATCTGCTACCCAAAACACACGCCCCGCACCGCGACTGTCTACAGGAAACTGCGCCACAGGACTTCCTCGGTGACACAAATGGCTGCTTGGAATGTGCTGAAGGGTGACTAAGGAGCTAAATTTTTATTCTATGTTCGTTTGAATTTAAACGTTAACAGCAAGATCTATGGGGAGGGTGAAGTCCATCGGTGGACCTCATCTGTTGAAATAACCTTTAAGAGTAAAGATTAACCTGTAAGAGCAGGATCAATGACACCACTTCAGATAGTGTATGCCCCCACACGGGTCCACAGTTCCCCCTTTTAACTAATGGGCAGAGATACGGAATTATTCTTTTATTTCCTCATGAAGATAGCACCGCATCCATCACCCTTAAGGTCGATGGACCGAATCGTGGGTGATGTGAACTTCTTCCCACTACACACAAAAATTATCCCGAACGTACTGACATTTTCCATTTTTAACAAAAGTCACTGACTACAGAAGCATGTATGATGATAGTCACACCTTAATGTTCACATTTAGACTTTTTCATGTTTCATTAACTAGTCATTAGCCTTTCAGTCTTTGTTAATTACATTAAGTTGATAATTAAAACATTTTATATTAATGCAGCTAGCATAATTAGTCACATCAGATTAGTTAATGTGTGTATTTTAGGTTCTATTTATTAAATACTATTGTGCTAATGTATAACTTAATTAAATAAATTCTGCATCACTTTTTAACCAGAGACATGCACTGAGCAACTCACCCTGACCCAAAATAACACAACAGAGAGTAGTAGGTCCAGTTCCTGCCCAGGGAGAGCAGCCGAGACTGTGTTCCCAAACTCCAAACTTCAGAGACGGACATCAGTCCCTGAAATGTCAGTCCCTTTCCCGCTCAATGTGTGTGGCCCAGCTTGACTTGTGTGTGAATTTTTTAAAAATAAGACAGGCTGTCTAAATGCACAACTAAAAACCCTAAACGCATTTCCTGAAAATGTCCAGTTCCTCTGTAAGCACATTTCCCATACACAGAAAAGACCTCAGAGTTACAGACAGTTTAATCAGAGGACTTGGTTCAGATGCCCCACGCATACTCATCATTGATCCAGACTTGGTAGTCTGTGCTTTCATTTGGTCGTATTATTTGGATTTGGGGATTCTCTGATAATATAAACACTGTCTATGAATTTTGGGGGAACAGGTCCTTAATATGGGTGTGTCTGTGGAAGGTCACGTCCCACACACCAGAGCCCAAATCTCTCGGTAGCAGACTTCAGTGTTGCAAACAGGGATGGACCACTTCCTTGTACCAAGTCACTTTGCTATTGGTCACTGGTCCATCCTTGGGTGCCAGGGAATTGTGGATATAGCTCAGTGGCATGGTGCCTTGCCTGGCAAGTGCAAGGTTCTCATTTTCATTTCAAGAACAAAGAGAGAGAAAAAGAGAGAAAGAGAGAGACAGAGAGAAAGGGAGAGAGAGAAAAAGATACAGGAAAAGGGAGAGAGAGAGAAACGGACAGAGGGAGAGAAAGACAGAGAGAGAGACAAAGGGAGAGAAAGAGAGAGGGAGAGAGAGAGGGATCCTTGGACCTCTTTCATTTAACACCCATGTTTTAAAGATGGTGCAATGAACTACTATCTCACATCACAGCCAAGGAGAAGCAAGACTGCGTTTTTTTATCTCCTCCTCTCAACGGGTTACCAGTCTGTTACAATAACAAGGGAGAAGTGTTTGCATTCACTGTGGCACAGAAATAAAATACCCTGTTAAAAATGCTCAGAATGGCAGACACACCATTCATCTTTCCGTGCCAGGTAATTCAGCTGTGTTGATGGGAATGAATCATAATTATTAATTCATGAAAAATTTCTATCACTGGGTCAATGTGTCACAACTTTTGAACTTAATCGTTTAAAATAATTCCATGAATATTATGATCAAAGCTCTATCAGAGAAATGACACACGCTTTTATTCTTACTTATATTGGTATCCTCTGTCCTTCAAAGACAAGATCTTAACCCGAAGACAATGATGAAACCAAGCAGACTGTGTTCACTCTGCAGAGCAAAAAGTCCACGTTTAAATAAACCCAAATGGTATAATTTAGTTGTTTTAAATGAACCACAGTTAGGAAGCAACTGATGAACCACAAAGTTTGGCTTGTAATCTATTTTGAACACTTGGGAAGAGGACATTATTTTATATTGATTGAGTTATATAATTTGAAAGAGAGAACAATATACCTATTAATTTCCGTAATTCATTGTTTTAAATGAATAAATACACACTACTGAATTTACTTGTGAAAAACAAAGAAATTTACTATAATAATTAGGGACATTTGTCTGGACCTTTCATGTATATTAGGTAAGACCAAAATATCACCCTGTTGGGGCTGGGGATTTAGCTCCACAGCATAAGGGCCTGCCTTACAAGCAGGCAGTCGTGAGTTCAATCCCTGGTACTGGTAAAAATGAAAAAGACAAAAAAAAAATATATATATATATATATCACCCTGTGGTGATATTGGACAAAAGTGGATACAGCAGAGGCTCAATATATGGCACAGTCCACCCATGGCTCAAGCTTAGCACCTCACTATATTTATTAAATCACCCATTAACTGAGACATTTACTGGGATCACAAGGGATTACTTTTCTAACAGCTTACAGTCATCAAAAGAAAGTAGTACCCTAAGTTACAGCTCTAGGGAGGTCCAGGAATCTGCCTTCCTATGGATGTCAATCATGAATCGTGTAACAAAACAGGATCTCTAAGCCCAATAGCAAGCTTTGCACTGGTGCTCTGAGTGCCAGCTTTCTCACAAATGAATTGAGATATGAATGGATGACTCTGTTCACTCCATTACAGCTTAGTATCTGTGAGACTAAGTTACCCAAAAGGATAGCAAGCTTGTTCAATTTAATGTTTCTTTTCTTTCTTAAAATTAAATACAAAGACTGCATTAATCATGAAGTTTGATGTATAAGTTCTCATTGTTCTATGCCCTCTCTCATTTAGGTGTTTATTAATCAAATACTTATTTATGTAAATGAATTTCCTTTGACTTAAAAAATAGCAGAAAGCCTGCCTCAACATGGAGTAGAATCCCTGAGTCTCAGTTACCGATGATTGTCTGAGTGCTAAGACCTTCACTGTTCACTGCCTGGAACTAACAGTCTCAGAGTTAGTAATGAGCAGCAGATACCCACACATCCTAGTATTCTTTTACTAATACATTTGCCATTCGTGGCTAGTTTGCTTACACTGCGGTAATTCAGCCCCCCCACCCAAACTACAAGGAACAAGAACGAGGTTCGGTAGACTCCTCTTCCATCAAGAAACTCTTCACCACGGACCTCAGAGTTGCAGATGGGCTTAATCAGAGTCCTGGTTTCAGAAACCCCATGCAATTCATCATCGGTCCACACTAGTCATTTTTTTTCACGCATTGACTAATTTACCAACTTACAAAAAACATACAATCATAACCTGCCAGGCCCCCAAAAGCCTTTGCATGCTAGGTTCTTATCACATTATTTTTTACAGTGATGCTCAAAGGTGCACGTATCAGCTAATCAGTTTCTATCAAATCTCCAACTTTCTATCAAATCTCCATTCACCACTGAATTTTGTGTGCCCTCCTCAATTCATTCTAGGCCTAAGATGGTTCAAAGAAGAACAATGAGGCTGCCACCTTGTTACCGCTGAAACCCTCACAAGGTCACCTATATTCCTGACTATCCCAACAGAGTTGTCAGCCAGCATTTCTGCCCAGAGAGGAAACTGAAATCAACTACGGTATTAAAAAAAAATAAAACATCCCGATAACAATTTAATAACTCTTATCACCTTCTAAGATAATAATAGTTATGTTAATTTAAACATAATTTGTGGCTGGTGACACACTCCATTACTGGTCCCTGTCTGAGGTGCTGGGCTCATTTTTTCCCCGCAGTAGTACCGGCAGTAACCCTGTAGCCAGCACCACCACCAAGCCACCAAATGAAGATCACGAACCAAGGACTTGCCTGGACTGTATCTATGCTCCTGATTCTGGCTAACTATTCTTTATTAAATGATTAAGCCAGCAGTCCTGGGTTCTCCCTAGGGAGGGGAAAAAAAAGAGATGGACTCAGATCTTGTAATGAGTTAGTCAAGCAAAATAAGACACAAACTTTGGCTCCACAACGCAAGTCGTATGCGTCTAGTATTGAACCTTCAGTTTCAAACGCTATGATAAACAGTCCTGACGGCATCATCTGTCCAAGAGTAACACCTACAGCAGTCACACACGGCTGCCAAGATGAAGTCTGTTAAGAAGCTGGTTATTGGCTGGCGCACTCATTTTCCTTTTCTTAATTAAAAAAAAATGAACAGCAAACTACGAAAAATTGTCTCAACCACACATACTAAAAGGCTCCGTGAAAGAGGGTTCCATCTGTTCACTTTACTCCTAATTAATAACTGCACTTGTTTTATGGCAAGTAATAATATTGATAATTCTTGGTTTTTTGTACTTCACTAATTATTCCCTAAAAAGGCCTGCTGGCCTCCTTTTGTATATATACTTATCTACTTATTTACATGTTAACTTGAAGTAATGTATTCCCTATCTTTAAACCATAAAATCCTAAGGGCAGCTCATTGAATTTCCCAGACTCTGGCCTCAGGTAATATCCACAGAGGGTCTCGCTGGCCTCCTTCTCTGTGGGACCTCAAAGTCACAAGAGGGCTTAATCAAAGGTGCTGGTTGGGACACCTCCACTGCTAATCCTCATTGATCCAGGCTTGGCTTTCATATCTCTGGTTACTTAAACCTACTCAGAGTGACTCAGCCATTCATGGATTCCCAATAATAACTGCATAATCAATACCCTGTGACATGGAAAACTAAGAGCAAACAGCTTTCTAGAGCGAACCTGCTCATTGCTCCTTTGCTCCAGAGCAAATGGACTCAGTCACGTGTCGCAGGAGACCTCTGCCTCCCACCTGTGGGTTAAACATCACACCGCACTTCAGGTCAGCCCCTTCTCAGGACAGGGCTCTGGCCCTCTCCCAAAGCTCTGGAATCAACAGCATGGATCTACAAAGGCAGCACACACAACACTGACATCTGCTACTGCTGGCCTCTCCTGGGGCGGGAGGTGCCTAGTAAGATGCTCGCTAATGAGGGGCCACATTAAGCAACTGTAGCTAAAGCCATAAACGGGAAGTTAAATATGCAAAATACTCTCCATAGCTTTAGTAACATCCTCATTAGGGTTGAAATGAATTAATCATAATTTTTGTTCATGGCCATAACAAGTCTGTGATTGGCAGTCCTTCATTTCATCTATTATTTAACAATTATTGTACTGAAATCATGTAGTGGGCACCCATGAAGAAATGCCATTCATAGCCAGAATGTCAGCTTGGGGGTGTTTACTTACACCAGTCCATGACAGGGATGATCTTCAGGATTAGAAAACTAGAAAAGGATTTTTTTATTAAAAAATCTGCTATGTGTTTTGCTGAGTAACCAAAGTCTGTTTTTAAAAAATACATCCTTGTTTCTTAAAGACCCAAATTATTATGACTTGAAAAACTACGGGTACATCTTTCAAAAAATCAGGAAGGCTCAGAAATTTCCTTAGAATTCCTGTCACAGAAAAGCCACAGATCAGCTCTCATATTACAACATTTATCCCTCTCTGGTCCATGGTTTGCTGACTTTTACAAAATAAATGAAGATGCAAAATCACTTCTTCCCTGAATACAAAGACATGGCCTGCTGCCACGTCGCAGGAGCTGGTCACAACCCCAACAGTATCCGCACTGTCTACAGTCACTGCCCTCAGAGTGACAGACTCCCCTCTTCTGCAGTGGCTTCACAAGAATCAGCAAACATGAAATGATTGGATTAAAATTCTCATCATCGGCTTTTGCTTGTCTTGCAATTATGTAGCTGTTTGGCAATTATTTGTATGAGTAAATGTATTTCATTTCCTTTTATAAAGCAATCAGTCAGCAATCCATTACCAACACCAAATTAAAACTTTTATATACAAATGTTCCTTATCAAAGTGGTGAGGGCCTTCACTACTAATGTATTTGGAGTGTCAGATAGGTTTCAATAATAATCCATGTTTCATTAAATTCCTTTTTTTTGTCTTTTTTTTTTTTTTTTTTTTGATGACAGGGTCATGCTATGCAGTTTAGGCTGGCCTGGGGCTCACTTTGTAGCCCAGGCTGGTCTCAAACTTGCAACGATCCTCCTGCCTTGAATTCTTTTATAATAATTGCATGATTTGATCTTTTTTCATGCATACATTTTTTTACACATCAGCTGACTTTATAATGAAAGTAAAATCTAGAATAAGGGTATAACTCAGGAATAGAAGGATGTTGGGTTTGAATCCAGTATTGCACATGCACGTATGTATACATACACACACATGCACACATGCACAAAACACGCACACACACACACACACACAGTAAAATCCATCCACAAAAAACTGAAAGCCATAGGACATAGTAGCATGGGCTCATTCTCCAAAGAAGGAAAAATTACATGTCTTTCTGTAACAGACCTCAGAGATCCATTCGGGTTTAATCAAAATATCCTGTTTCAGATACCCCATGGTACTCATCACGGGTCCAGGCACGTTTTTCTTCCTTCACTGATTAATTTATTCATTCATGAATAACATGATAGTCACAAAATTTAAGAACAAGATTTTGCCATTGGTTGGTTGTTCTTAGTTCCTAGACTGGATCTCCACTCACACCAGATCTCAGAGAATGTGTGAGATTAATTAGCAAATCTGCCTTTGCCATCAGTCCTCAATTTGCCCATGTTTTAAAGATGGTTCAATGAAAAGAGATAAGACCACCATCTTCAAACAATCAAGGGAGATTTCACATTCTTTCAGGCTATCATATGAGGGGTTAGCAACCAGGATCACATCAGCAGGGAAACGCTGTGCTAGGAAATAAAATATGTTTCTGAAAATAAAACTATGCCTAAATCACCTCCAAATGAGATCGAATGTGTTTTTGCCTCATCACACATTCCCATCATTGGTCCGAGCTCAGAGATTTTGTGCCTTTCATGGACATGGATTTCACTGAAAGGAACCACACACAGGAACCAAGCATTCCACAGGACTCGCACAGGAGGCCCTACTTACATTATTCTCTATGCTCTTTGCCCACAGAATTAACTGCCAAGATTTGGCCTCTTAGAACAGCTGAATAAGTCAGCTCTTATGGACATTCTGTGGAAGACAAGTAGGCTTAACTACATATGAGGAAACACTGGACCCGTCCTAAATAATCTAGCTTCTTATTTTCACTTTTCAATAATGTAAGGGCCACGGTTGTATCCACCTCCAAGGGTAGCCTCTATCATTATTACAAGTCTCTGCTGTGTAACTAACCACAGGTATTGGTCACAGACTGCCTTGGAATGGGCCTCAGATGGAACTCACATCCTTCCTGCACACAGGCTCACTGGGGTCCAGAATCGGGAGCCAAGTATTCTTTGATGTGCACTTACATCATTTGTATAATCTATGATCTTTGGTCACCAAAATAACAACCAAGGCTACCTGGTGAGCATACATATAGTGTTTGACACACACCAAACAGAGACAAAGAAAAAACTTTGATATGACTACATAATATAAGTTTAGGTTATTTTGCATTAACATTTATCTCCAGAGTAGATGATCAAAAACTATTGTTTCTAACTAGTTTTCATCATTGCTCGAAGAATAGCAAGTCCTCGTATTTACTTATTTATTTTCCTCTTTTTTTTTTTTTTTTTTTTTTTTTTTTTTTTTGGTACCAGGGATCGAACTCACAACCTCGCACTTACCATGCGGGCACTTGAGCCTGCCTCTTATTTATTTTTAAAGAACAGAATGAAAATACCATGGAATCTACTAAACTAAAAAAGAATTATCTATGAAAATTTTCTCTGTTTTAACAGCTTTAACAAAACAAAAACCATCTTAATGGGTCCCAATTTTGCTAAGTTTGCATACTTTTAAACCTCTATTCCAGTTTCTGGTTTAAAAGTGGCCTGTTTGAGTCTTCCTCGTACATTCATTTATTTAATTGTTCGTGGATTCATTTGATCATTTTTCTTTTCAATAGTCAAACTGGTGACTCAGCCACTCATCCAGAACTTAAACACTGTTGTGTGCTAAGATCTGCATGTATATTATATAACTTTAAGAATATTAGCAGTAAAAATCCAAACTAATAATTACCATTCTCTCAGAAGACATAATTGTCATTGATCTGTAATTTCCTTTCATATATATCATTTTACTGATTCATTCAACAGAAATGACTGCAAAGAAACTACAAATGAGACCTGCGTAGCAATAACAGCACTATCTATTCCTTACTCAAATAACTGACCCAGTAGGTCATTTGGGGGTTGTTCATAAAAACTCAACCTGATCATTCTGAACTGTTCTCATAGGACACATGATCAAGGTGCACCCAGAACTGCTCCCTGCTCAACTGGATGCACATACAATGGCCCATTTGTGTAAAGTTTCCCCTTTAACTGAAAAGGAACAAATGGGATACAACAAAATTAACTGGGTAGAGGGAAACATCACTGAATACGGAGATTAAAGAAATAAAATGCATCTCAATAGGAAAGGAAAATGCAAAACTGTCTCTGTTTGCCAGCAACATGATTGGCTACATAAAACCCAAATCCTACATCAACTTACAAAAGACAGAAAACCATTAAAACCGATAAACACCCAGGTGTGGTGGTGCATGTCTGTAATCCCAGCACTTGGAAGACTGAGGCAGGAGGATCACAGTGAGTCCAAGGCCAGGCTGGGCTACATAAGAGAATTCAAGGCCAGCAGCACTACAGGCTGAGACCCTGTCTCAAGAAAAACAAAGGAGAGGACAAAGAAAATCGATGAACTCAGTGAAATTTCAAGATACAAAATCAAAACAAAAATAATTACTAATTTTATATACTATCAAAAAAGTTTATTAAAAATCCAATTTTCAAAATCAAATAATATACAGGGTAAATTTGGCTAAGGAGATGAAAAACCTGTATACTAAAAACTATAAAACACTGAAAAAAATCAAGATAACCCCACAGACTGCCATATGATCCAGTAATCTCATCAATATATCCAAAGGAACTGAAATCAGTACGGAAAAACACCCTACATTTTTATGCTCACTTAAACATGCACAATAGCCAATCCACAGAATCAACAAAATGTCGTCAGGGGATGGGTGGATACAGAGAATGTGGTGCATGTACTCAGTGGAACATCATTCAGCCTCACCAAGGAGAGAAAGCCTGCCTCCTGAGTCAACATGGAGAGGAGACTGTGCTAAGTGAAATAAGCCAGCACAGACACAAATCCCAGCCGAGCTCACGTAGGTAGGGTCTAAAAACATCGAACTCACAGAAGTAAACAGTGAATATCGGTAACTGGCTGCTGGGGGTGGGTGTGATGGAGACTGTGTGGAGGCTTACGTCAAAGACTACAAAGACTCAGGACAGAAGGGGTTTTGAGGATCTACTGCACAGGAGGGAGACCACAGTCAACAAAGTGTATTTCAGAATAACAATGAGAGCAAATGCAAAAAAATTACTAATAAAAGTGATAGGTAATAAGGGAAGAGACAGATTGGTTAGCCGGATTTCATCGCCCAAATTGTATGCATAGATCACAACACCATGCTTTGTCAATTAAAAACATCAACCTAAAACTCAGATCCAAGAAGTCAACCATCTAAGTGCTCCTCTTTAAGAAACTATAGAAAGAATAGCAAATTTAAGTACAAAATGAGTAGAATTTTTTAAAATTTAGAACACAAATCAGTAAGATTGCAAATAGATTATCACTGGGGAGAAATCAAGGTGGGGAGAAGCTATTATTTGGAAGACTCAAAGGAAAAGGTGTAAATTATTAGTATCTGAAGTGAGGAAGGTACATTACTACAGAAATCCATATAGAAAGGCTAGTTGAACAGGTCTGTATCAGTTAGAGAACTTGAATGACTAATACCCTAAAACAGAGAGCATCATGGCCAGATGGGACCAACAGGAAACACCTCACACAAGACAGAAATGAAAGCAAGTAGATGATTTCTTCAAAAGACAGAAAGAGAGGAAGTTGCGTTATATTAGAGTGGAATGGTTCTGGTTTTGACCCATCACAGGATGATGCAAACTACAACTTTGTTTACTTCGGTACTGATTTATTTCTCTAAAACAATAACATGCAGGGAAAATGCATCAAACCAGAACATAAAGGCTGACTACTATTTACATTTGGTCCTACGCTCTTTATCCACAGAAATAACAGCTACGATTTTCACAATTGGAGAATAATTAAACCCAGTGTGGCATTACAGTAGATTTAAGCAAATGCAGCCTACATGGAAGCCTTTCAAGGGAGCTCCATAGGGCTGCACAAATTAATCCTAAACCTCAATTTGTGCTACGTTGTAATTAGTGGCCCACAAATGTCCTGGAACATTTTAACTGACGTACCTAGCACCTACACAAGAGTAAGAAATGACGGTTATAAGAAATCATTTATGTATTCTCTACCAACATAGTCAAAAATAGAATATTTCTCCTGCTAATTATTATCACTTATACATAGTTAGATATTTAAGTAAACATTGGGGATTGAACCCAGGGACCAGTCCCTGAGCTACATCCCAAATTCCCCTACACACGCCCTTTTGAGACAAGGTCTCACTGAGTCTGAGCACAGGCTGGGCTAGAAATTGGGAACACTGATCCTCCTGCCTCCGCCCCTTATAGAGCTGGGTTATGGTGGGCACCACCACGCCTTTAAGTACCCTGCCATAGCACGTTATTGCCCGAAATCCTCGCTAGAACCACATTGTGTATTTCCTCAATCACTGTTTCACGGATTCCTTTATTTCAAGTAGTTAGAAATAAGGTGAACGCCTGTTTTTCAGAGAGTACATTGTGTTCAACCCACCAGCAACACAACATTGCAGCAGTGAATGACACACAGAGTCGCGCGACCCTGACTCCACGGAGGAAGAGCCTAGATTTTCGGCTTTGGTTTTTCTCATCCCAACATCCTCAAGGTAAACAATCCACGATGTACTTGGCTCAGGCTGCTCTTTGGACCCTGCTTTCCACCTGTGGTTCTCAACTGGGGACACAGTGTCCCTCAGCTGACATCTGCCTATGTCTGGGGACAAGCTTTTATTGTCACAAGTGAGGGTGGGAGATGAACAGGCAGGAGAAGTTACTAAAGCGCGCCACACAGTAAATAACGTGAGTCTTAGGTACAGTGTACCATAATGCCGAGTGCCGAGGAACACACTAACGGGGTCAACCCTTCATCATAACTGGCTGCATCTCGAGGTGAGCGTTCTCTACCCACGCTTAGCACATCACCAGCCTGGGAGCCTGCGTGGGCATCAGAGATCTCAGTGATGGGGCAGCCAGCGCTGGTCAGTGGAGCAGCCCGTGTTTAGCATGCACAAGGCCCTCAGTTCAATCCCAGCATGACAGAGAGAGAGAGAGAGAGAGAGAGAGAGAGAGAGAGAGAGCAAGAGCGAGAGTAAGCGATAAAGAGACAAGAGGCGGGAACAGAGGTCCGAACAGCTGTCTATGGGCCAACCACTTCCAAATATCATCAGCTACCAACTGGCACCACCAAAACAATGTAGGACGCCCACATTAATTTCTTAGTATTTTCTCTCTGCTGGCTCCTTACCCAAGCATGAGATTTAATCAATGTGTACCGGAAATGGCAGCTTAGGGGTGTATCAGTAATAATAAAACCCTACACACTCATCACTTGTCACATGCGTCCCTTTTCTGTTCATCCACATGTGCATCTGCTGTAAGATCATTGAGCCTAGAGGTCAGTGACATCGCAGTCTTTTGGGGGTAGTGGGAGTGGGAATGAACCCAGGCCCTCTGCACTGAGTTTTCACTTAGTCTTTTTTTATTTTTTATTTTGGGATAGGGTCTTGCTAAATCACTAAGTTATCAGGCTGGGCTTCAATTCATGATCCTCTTGCCTCAACCTCCCTCCATGCTGGGATTACAGGCATACACCACCACATCCAGCTTATGGTGGACCTCAGAGTTGTAGGGCTTAACCAAAATCATTGACTCAGACACCCCAGAATACACATCATTTGTCTAGGCTTAGAACACGCTTTCCCCCCACACAAACAATACTGGAGATTAAAAACTTTCGCACAGAGTTAAGTGAGACAGGGTCTCACATTGCCCAAGCAGGACTCAAACTTGCAATCCTCCTGCCTCAGCCTCCCAGAGAGCTGAGATTATAGCCATGCACCACCATGTCCAGCTTTGGCTCTTTCCATCTATCACTGCACTCAGAGCCATCAGCACTAACAAAGCCACGATATATGAAGCACAAACCTGACACTAAGACCCTAAGTATTCCTTAGATGTCGCTACAACTTATTCTCCAAAGAGCAGACAGCATCTTTGCAATGATCTGAAGTTCCACACACAGGTCTCTCATCTCCCTTGCTTCACACCTCGTCCCCACACTGACACTACTCCGTCGTGGTCCTTCAGTTATTTAACCTGTCCATATTTTAAGGTAGCACATGTAGTAGCAGCCGCCAAGATGGAGCCAGCATTCCGTGGCTCCTGGTATCCACTGACCTCCATGATACCCAACAGCCTACATGACCAAGAATACCACAGCAGCAGGGGTTATGTGGGGTCACAAATGCATCAAGGGTCCCACCTCTGTCTTAGCTCAATTGCTCTGGAGGAATGAAACTGTCCCGCATCAGGCTCCTGCAATGCCCGGGGGAAAGCTCTGCAAGGGAAGAGACCGTGATCCCACCCACAGCCAGCTACACAGGGGAGGCGTGGAAAGGAGCCCCAATGCAGTCTCCCAGACAGATGCCAGCAGGTAGCCCTGAGCCCTGGCTTGCAAACTCACAGGAGCCCTACACCTCCTGGCGGCTGCGCCTCTCCTGTAGCCTGGCCCATGGAAATAGTGAGGACTCACGGGTGTTTATTAGTGCTCTGAGCACGAAGACATGGGACTATTTAACACACAGTCGCGCGTGAACCGGTGCGGGCTAAGCATCTGTGATCCAGCCAAAACATTTGGGACCAGAATTGCTTCAGATTTTAGATCTTTCAAACTTTGGAGTTTTTGGTATCTCTTAGGACTCAACCCTAACACAAAAGTCCTTTATATTTCATGTACACCTTCTATAGATGGCCAGAAAATAATTTTACACAGCATTTCCAGTGTCCCTGGGTTAATGTCCACAATCTGCCCCATAAGGTTACGTGTGGGATTTTCCACTTGTGCCTTATGGTGGTGCCAAACATTTTCAACCTTTTCTTAAATCTGCAGATTTTTGGATTTTCAGATTTGGGGTACCCGTCCTGTATAGTGACTCCCTATGACCACCATCACCTTCACACTGGGGGCCACGCAATGCCTTTCTCCTTCCTGTCCGATCCCACTCTCAAAAGCTGAGGGTATAGATCTTTATGTTTAACTCAACAAAGGTACAGAATAAATCCTAACATGAAAACATCTCTAAAAATGGCTAAAATCGTTACACACAGACTTGGAGTGTGATGAGTCGGATTAATCGCAAACTTTGCTCCCCTCACTGTCGCTCCTGCTCAGCACCCTCTGACTGGATTGTCTATCTGGACATCGCCTTCTTGGACGCACTGTGATGACTGACAAATCACCTGAGCCAGGGCTATGAAACCTGCTGATCCCCAACAACGGTATCTAAGCTCCTTACCCACGGAGGTCGCAAGCACTGTCTCTGTAATTACGGAATAATTGAGTTAGCCACGGTGTTTTTGTTCCGTGAAGTAAAGTGCACATTTTACAAAGAACAGAACAGCGCGGCTTTAACTTCTGTTAATAGACTTGAGTCATGAGGGATTAGATTAATCATAAACCTTAGCTCCTATCACATTCTCATTACTAACTCAGGAATAACTCGACTTTTACACACTGATTTATTTACTGCTTAATTTTTAATATAATGAACGCTTAAATCTATCACCCAGTAGAGGAGAAATAAATGAAACTATTACAACTACCCATCTATACACTCCCTCACACACAGACACCCTAACCTCATCAATCTATTTCAGGGGACCAAACTTCATTGCCAACAGTGCCCATGATGCATCGATCCACAATTTACCCTAATTTATGCATTAACTGACTCACTTGCTATTTTTATTACTCACAGAATCATTTGACTCTTCGTGTTTTACAGAAAAACAATAAAACCCACCCGCAAGCCAGGATTGAAGTCTAACTTCCGGGAACTCCCGGTAAACATTTTGTCCTAAACTGGGAGGAATCTAGATTTCTTTTGTCTTCATCAAAAACGTAGATTATTCAAGCCTTTTGTTTCATGACAGCTGCTCTTCAGCAGCCCACAGAGACATGAACTCCTTCACTCCTTCTCTCCATCAATGCATCAGAACGAATAAAAGCCAAGACAGTGGATGGGAACATCAATAAAATACAGTATATATATTTATATTTATCTCTGTCTCTGTCTATCTCTGTCTTTAACTCTGTTTCGGCCTCTATCTCTATCTCTCTGTCTCCCACTGCTTCCCCTCCTTATCTCTATCTCTATCTCTGTCTCTATTTCTGTCTCTGTCTCTATCTCCATCTCTAATCTCTATCTCTGGTTCTGTCTCTATCTCTATCTCTGTCTGCTGGTAACTCACAGATAACATGTCTTTTTTAAAAAAAAAACTAGTATTCAGCAAACAAAACTGGATTAGTAATACTACCATATGCAAACTAGTAGTCTATATTGAGGCTTCTTTCCACTAGGCCATTATTTGAAACAGAATTTTTTTACATAAATGATTTCTTTAAAATAAAAGCCTACAACCAGCTGTATATCACCAATTCAAAACAACCTGGGTATTCATGCAACAACTATATCCTTTATGTAAAACCAAAAGGGAGACAATCTTCACATCACGAGACCCAGTGCTTTAGCAAACATAAGACATAATACTAATTATTTCACTGCAGAGTTGCAAAATCAGCCACTATTCACACAACTCTATTGTTGCATTGCTTCATGTATAGTATAATTCACAGACAGGAAGAACTAAGATCAAACTCTTTGACTTATCTGTAACTTTTGCTCTAAAGCTTCTCCTACAGAAGAAATACAGAGGTTCATTTTTTTCCTAATAGTCCTCCAACATTACAGAGTTTAATCAACATCTTTGATTCATACATCACGAAATACTTATTATTCTACACTTGATATATTTTCCTGCTTTATTTGTACATTGCTCATACTTTGAGTCAATGACTCACTAAATAATTATATGATAAATTCTCCTGAAGCAAAAAAGTCTAGCAGCACGCTTTAATATTCCTAGTCACAGTCTGAAGGCTCCTGTGCCACACAGCTGGCAGACGAGAGCACATTTAGAGTGGACTCACATGTTTTGCGTATATAAATTAACACCCACATTTCACCCTGAACCCATGACAGCCACTGGCCTGTGTAGCCTTCTTCATTTCAAGATGGTGCAAAGAATAAACCAGGAACAACAATCTCACTCCATAACCCAGAGAACACAGGCGATATTAGCCATCTCCCTCTGTGCTTTTCCTCATGAATTAGTATCTTAAATCCTTGTCAGTGGAGAGGTTCTTAACTGAATCACAGTGCAAACATGAAGCAGAACATGGAGCAGCCACGAACATGAATGAAACATCCTGCATCTTTTTTTATTGGATTTCACTAGTGCAGAATCAGATTTATCATAAATTTCAAATCTGAGCACATCCCCATCGATAGCCATGCTGGTGTTAGTTAGTTTTATTCATGAATGAATCCATTTCCTACTTTGAAAAATCCAGGCAACACCCACAAATCAAACTCCCAACCCCAGAACATTAAAGGCTAGCTATTACTTATATACCTCTTCTTTTCTAGCCCGCAGAGGTAAGAGCCTAGACCTTAGCATTACAGGATGATTAAATAAGTGGTGAGACACTTAGCTGGTGAAGTAACACACAGATTTCCAAAACGAAGAGCTTACTGTTGGGTTTTTGAGTAGAATTTTGTCTTGCAGTATTTGATAAATCAAAAGTGTCATCTCACATTTGCCCAGGAGCAGCATTTCATAATTACTGGCTTCTTTAGTTTATGTTTTAAATGGCACAGTGAACATGGACATGGGGATAAGAACCGTATCTACTGGAAATCTCTGTCTGCATACCCCAGTCCACAAATGCAAAGCTACGTGATTGACTTGAATAGACCTCACTTGGGCAAAATTGGATAAATGTGAATCTTTGCTTCATGGCACAGTCTCATGAGTGATGTGTAAATTTTTCTAATTTACATGTCTAGTGATTCATTCATTTATTCATGACTATAATTTGCATGGAATAAATTAATTATCCACTTTTCTGAAGAACTGTTACACACATTTCAACGGGCACTTTAACTGAAGAGGGAGAAACGTCGAGTTCTAGTCATTTATCTGGCAACATCCGGGTATAACAAGAGTAATCATTATCTTTGGTTTATAACACATGTTCCTCATTGGCCCTTCTGTAGAACTGGTATCAATATGAACATATTTCTTCTTCCTTTATAACAACACATCAGTTCCAACAATACTGAACGTGAGGGACAAGGACACTGAATAGCCGTTAACTGGCCACGATGTAACCACCTAGATCCTATTTTGAGTTCTTAAATAAAAACTTAGTGAACATGCTTAGTCTTGATCCTGTCATATGATACATTCTCAACCTTAGGTCCTGCTCAGCTCTTTCTTGAGAAAAAATAGTAAATCAGTCAACAACCCAGAACTGAAACATTCTCATCACAGATCTTTCTCCCTGAACTAAACCCGTATTCTAAGAGCCTGGGCCTGGCAGGCAGAGTAGCCTGTCCCTAGCCTTATTCCACACCCCATTGTGACCACCTGTCCACAGCTGGCATGAGATGGCACCATATTCAAAAACAAAAAGCAACACAAGAACCTGTGATTCACAGGCTTCTCACTTGAACACCAAAACTCCTAATAGTAGCCCACCTGTTCCATGTCCGCAACAATACCAGATTACATCTCCTGCATGGGCTTTTGTCAATATTTTTCATAAAATTCAGGGAGCG